CCAAAGGGTTTTCTTTTCCTTTTTTTTTTTTTTTTTTTTTTCTTCTTTTTTTTTTTTTCACTTTGTTGAAATATTACACGAACATTTGTTAGAGCTTTTTAGTGGAAAGAGAGGGCTTTATAGGTTGACATTGTTGGAGCTTTTTAGTGGAAAGAGAAGGCTTTATAGGTTGACATTGTTGGAGCTTTTTAGTGGAAAGAGGGCTTTATAAGTTGGTTTGGATGAGTTTGGATACAGAGATTTTCATACCAGCACGAACGTATCTCTTAGACAAGCAGGAAGGAAGAGAAAAAGTAATAAGATCATGCCGAGAGATTACGAGTTATTCCAAAAAGGCGATTTTCACACTACATAGATCCCTGAGTCTGACGGAACATATTGCTACAGAGTTGTCTAATTATCTACAGATTATAAGCAAGCACTTGAATATAGTTGGTGATATATATAGCACCAATCCGAGTTTACGCGTATCGATTACAGGCGCGATTGAAGAGTTGGTTGAGTTTTTGACATTTGGATATTACAAATACCACCACAAATTGTTATCGTATGAGAGTCTTTTAAAACTTCTAAAGCTCATAATGGTTGGCGAAGAGCTATGTGATGTTGTCTCCTACATCTTGAGTGAGACAGAACTGATAAATATTGAGACCCCCGTTGCCATCAATTTTGTAAACCAATCTGACTATCTAATGGGTCTATTTGATTGCACGGGAGAAATAATGCGGATGGTTATCCTGCTGTCAACAAGCAATACAGGCGATCTTGAAAAAAACAAAACATTGAACAATTACAAATTTCTCAAGGATTTATATGAGAAATATCTCATCTTACTAACCTCCTATCCTGGTATTTCAATCCATTATGGTTCCTTTGAAAATTCGTGCAACCTGAAAGGTAACCAATCTTTTAAGAAAAAATTGCAAGTGTTTGAATCATCTATAAAAAAGGTAGAGACTACTTTACTAGATCATTTAATCAGTGAAAAAGAAATTTTGTAAAAAAAAAAAAAAAAAAAAAAGAATAGAAAGGCAAAGGCAAATACAAAACTCCAAGTGTAGCTCCACTATCTCGCATTGCTCAATAATGTCGAACTATGATATCTTTTTAATCTACATTCTAGGTATAGCTCCTCCTGGAGATGTCTCACTTCTAGCAGTCAAGATCTCAACACCATCTTCAGTGACCAATAACATTTGTTCAAATTGTGCCGATTTTTGACCATCTTGAGTAGCTGCAGTCCATTTGTCTGGCCATGTCACATCTTTATAAGTACCTAAATTAAGCATTGGCTCAATTGTGAAAACTTGTCCCGGTTTCATAATTCCAATTGCTTTGTTTTTGGCATAATGAGGAATGTTGGGCTGACAGTGGAATAATGTTCCGCATCCATGACCACAATATGTTCGCACAACCGAACAATCATTCTCTGAAGCGTGTTTCTCAATAATATTGCCGAGCTCTCTATATGCAACACCTGGTTTAACGGCTTTGATAGCTAAATCAAGGCATTCTCTAGTCGTTTCAACCAATCTCACTGTATCAGGATCACTTTTGGCCTTGTCTCCAACATAATAGGTTTCATTCAAGTCGGAGTGAAATCCCAAGTAATATATAGTAACGTCTAAATTGACAATATCACCATCTTTCAACTTAGTCTTGTCGGGTATCCCATGGCATATAATTTCGTTGATAGACGTACATATCGATTTGGGAAAGTTGTAATAGTTTAAAGGCGAAGGGTATGCGTTCCGTTTTATACATTCCCTGTGCAATATTTCATCCAATTCATCAGTAGTGATTCCCGGTTGAATGTGGCTAGCTGTAATATCCAAAATCTCTCTAGCAATCTTGCTCACTTTTCGAATCTTGGTGATTTCCTTTGGTGTCAATACTGGAATCTTACCAATTCGATCGTTCTTGATCTCACTTATAGGTTTCCCTTTTTGCGCGTAATCGGGCAATTTAATATGTTTTGGAATAGCACGTCTTGGTGACAAGGGATAGTGTGGTCTCACATCTCCAGTATAGGCAAAGTTGGGGAATGGGATATATACCTCTTCTCCATCATCCGATTTATGCTGTGCCTTGTGAATAGAATAGCTTGATCGAAAACAGTTTTGGTTACAAAAAACACTATCAATCCCTTCTTTAAGACAAATGGGACATTTCAACATGGAATCTGTCTCATTTCCACACTGTGGAGCAGCACATACACTGGTCATGGTCTTAACCTTCTCTGCTCTTCTTCTTTAGAGAATGTAGTTGAAAAATTTGGAAAAAAATAAAAAAAAAAAATAAAAAAAAAAGAAATTCAATTACTTTGAGATGCCTCTACTAGGGAGCAAGACTATCGACCGACACTATCGACCGACACTACTGAGCAGAGCGAGATAGTGGAGCAGCACTGACTAGCTGCCACCAACACTGTCGCGAAACCTGTTACTAACTTCACAGCTTTAACTTTACAGCTTTCCCCTTGATAAAGATAGATCGAATTATATAAAACTAAGTAGACTGACTGACACTACGAACAGAGCGAGATAGTGGAGCACACACACGGGTTTGATGGTAACTAAAGCAAAACATTTAAAGAGGAGAGTGAACCCTTCACTATGATAGTGTTCTGCTCAAGCCGTCAAAACAATAGTAACTACCTATTGACACCAGCAACACTATCTCAACTATCTCGCTCTGCTCGATAGTGTCTAGATGTCATAATCGATCTCAGGTATTAGTATACACTAATACCACTTTTTTCTCCACTCAAGACGAGTAGATACTTATAAGGATGAGTACAATTATGTATTGATCTACGCACTTTGACACATTGTTCAGTGGGTCTTGCAACATGAGTACTGGACAACTTAAGTTAATGCGATGGAAAGAAAAGTAAAATTTTTTGAAAAAGAATATAATGCGAATATATAATGCGAATATATCACTAATGTAATATCTGTATTTGTATTATTGAATCACCACTATCGAGCAGAGCGAGATAGTGGAGCAGCACCAACTGACACTATCGAGTCTTTGTAGCTTGTTACGACACTATCTCGCTTTGCTCGATAGCGTACCGAATAATTAAATCATATATGATATACGCGGCAGCATGTTTAGCTCAATTTTATTTAATGAATGGGATCTCGCTCTGATCAATAGTGGAGCAGCACTGACTAATAATGTCAATGTATATACACAATTGAAATGTTACAAAGTAGTAAGTATATTTAGTATCAAGTATCACTAGTATGTTGTAACAAGGTACAAAGTGTTGCTCCACTATCTCGCTCTGCTCGATTTGGGTGTCCCAAAGACTTGAGGGTGTATCCTTGAGAAACATTTTTTTTTGCATAAAAAAGCCCAAAAGTGATGCTAGAGTTTACTTTCTATATTTCTACGCGTTTGGCTCGGCTAACTTCTGAGCTCTATTATTCTGCTCCACCAGTTACGCCTTTTGTCTCTGCAAGTATTTTCTTGACACTATTGAACAGAGCGAAATAGTTTTGTAACAGACTACTTAGTGTTGCAACAAGCTATAAAGTGTTCCAACAAGCTACTAAGTATTGCTCCACTATCTCGCTCTGCTCGATAGTGTCGGTAGTGTCCTGTTACAAAACTGTTTTTCGATTTTTCCAAAAAAAAAAAAAAATCAATTTGCCGTTAAAACAATTCAATTACCCATTCAAGTTGATTAGGTCTAATTTTGAAAAAAGATGGTATGTGAGCCAACACCAAATCCATCTTCACCTAATTGAATTATACTAACTAATTTTCTAGTCTATGAGAATTATACCAGCTGAATCGAGAGAGTCGTTTGTCTCCTCTACACAAAAAAATGAACCATCCAAGAATGCACCAGCATTGTCTGAAATCATGCACAATCAAAGCGGTCCAGTAAACATATCCTCACAAATAAATAACCTTCATCCTTTACAGGGACGAGTCACACGCTGGGATCAAACTCAACAAGACGCAAGATTTGAAACTTATAGACGTATATTTGGTGCCGGAGACCCAATAAAACGATCCATGGAATTAGCTATTGTTGAAAACACAGACTTTAAACCTGAATGTCTTGGGGGTAGTAGTATGATGCACAGGGATATTTTATTGGGAAACGATCTGAGTTTGGACTGGGAAGATGTTTACCCTAATGGCATCGCCAACAATGGGTCCACTGTAAGAGACATGCACAGTGAAATAGAAAAGAGATTAGGTCTTTAATAGAAAAAAAAAAAAAAAAAAAAAAAAAATAAATAAATTAAAAAAAAAATTGATTTTTTTTTTTTTTCATTTTTTTCGTTTNAAAAAAAAAAAAAAAAAAAAAAAAAAAAAAAAAAAAAAAAAAAAAAAAAAAAAAAAAAAAAAAAAAAAAAAAAAAAAAAAAAAAAAAAAAAAAAAAAAAAAAAAAAAAAAAAAAAAAAATTTTAAAAAAAAAAAAAAAAAAAAAAAAAGAAAAAGAAATACATACAAAAACAAGTCGATTTTCTTACTTCTCAATATTTTACGGTTCAGTATATATCTTTCTTATTTTCTAGAGGCACTCTTCTTCTTGGTTTTAGCACTGGTGCTAGTGCTCCAACCGTCTTCGTCGACCTTTTGTACCTTTTCTGCACTCGAAAGAATTGCAGCAGACCAAGCGACATAATCTTTTGCACCTTCTCCACCCAACATCTGATCTGCTTTTGTTTTCCTCTTAGTAAACTCTTGCGCAAACCTTCTTCCGTCCATTGTGGGGCTTGAGGCATAGATTGTCTCTGAAATTAACTGTTGGGTTTCTTGAGAGTTTGAAGGCAAAGTAATAAACATCTCGAGCAAATCGAATTTGGAAACACTTGGATAAAGATTCGTCATTTGAGCTCTCGCCCAGATCAAAAACTCTTCTCTAATAGCTTGATAATTAATCCCAGTAGTGGCAGTTTTAGATGCTGATACATTACGCAATAATTGAGGTGTAACCTTAGAAGGTGGTACCCCAGAAGAAGAAGAAGAAGTAGTAGTACTTCCTCCAGTTTTTTTAACAACAACTGGTTTCTTCGAGGATGTCACGGTAGTCCATGCAGCTGTATCTTCACTGGGCACCGCATTTGCTAATGCATTGGCAAACGACATATTTGTAACGGCGCTAGTACCAGCACCACTACCATTGTGAGCACTGTTGGCAGCTGCGGCAGCTGCGGCAGCAGCTGCTGCTGCGCTCTTGGCTTTGGCCTGCTCTGCCTCCTCCTTTTGAATTTCCGCTAATGACTTGACGGGTGCATGTTTCTCAACCGGGGTACCCCAGGATAAAGGCAATTGTACTTTACGTTTTTCCTGTTCAGTAGCTGCTGACTTTTCGGCAGCGGCTTCCATTGCCCACGCCTTAGAAGTTTGTTCTAACTTTAACTTATTTTGTGCTTTTCTTTGTTGTGATATTTTCTCAAGTTCAACTTTCTGAACCTCTTTCAAAGATGATGTGGCTTCTTCTTTCGCTTTTGCCGCCCACGGAGCCAATGCTTGAGGTTTTGAAGGTTTCAAGTCAACAGTTCTTGTTGGAGGCGCCGTGATTTCTTCCTCAAGAGAAAAATTGGCTTTGGAAACTTTATCACTTTCTGATGGTCGTTGCAGCAACCGCTCTTGCTTTTGCTGCTGTTTACCAAGTGATTGAGTTTGTTTGGCAACCATAGATGCTGGTTCCTTCTTTGGCTCGCTTTCATCCTGCAAAATATCGGTAACAACTGAATTTAGAACGGCGCTGTCATGATCATCTACCAAATGGTCATCTCTTGATACACCAACTCCTACGCCGTGACCTGCTGCTGAACTAAAATTGTTACTCAAATTAGTGCTGGAAATGAACGGTGAATTTATTCTTGAAACAGACTGGCCAATAGTACCAGTTGTGTTCCAAGGTGATATTGGAGCCGGTTGGCTAGTTTGGCTAGTGTTGGCATTAATAGGACCAACATTGTTCAAGGCACTCATAAAAGTACCTGAATTGGAGCCCGTTGCTGAAGCTGGACCAGATAAATTTCCAGCAATAGGAGATGGAGTTTCAAGTGCCCAAGCACTATTGCTTCGAGATAGCAAAGGCTCATGTTGTTGTGGTTGTGGTTGTGGTGGTTGTGGTGGTTGCTGCTGCTGCTGCTGCTGTTGATGGTGGTGGTGGTGGTGGTGCGGTTGTAATTGCGGTTGTGGTTGTTGTTGCGGTTGTTGTTGTTGTTGTTGTTGTTGTTGTTGTTGTTGTTGTTGTTGTTGTTGTAACAACGACGGCATCGACGAAAGAGCAGCAAAATTTTGCTCAAACATACCGTTTCTACCAGAAGAATCCGTTGGCTGATGAAAATTGTCAAGACCAACAAAGCTCGACCCATATGGAAACCCCGAGTTGAGATTGGTAATTGGCTGGTTTTGATTGACTGCAAACGTGTCAGCACTTGTTGAATTTATGAATTCGCTCGTTAACATAGACTGTTGCTGAATATTTGATGACGAAGATAACCTAATAGGTTTATGCTCAAAAGCAAAACTCTTTGCTTGATTCGCAAACTGAAAGTCGGTGTGATCCTTTACTGGCAACAACTCCGGTAAGGGAACCTTGAACGGAAGTGTGTACTCTTGAACACTATCACATAAACTTCTCAAAGTTCGAAATTCGGATTCATCTTTCCTCCTAATCATCAAGGCCAAATCCAAGTAACCTCCCGTAAACCATTCTTGCATCATGTCACCACTAAAAGGCCCTTGTTCGTTCCCTGATGGGTCAATATAATGCCAATACAACTTGTCAGATGTCAATAACGCGGTAGTAGGTTTCATAATCCCCGGCGGTGGAAGTTCACTTGACACCGTGGAGCCAAATGATGATGAACCGTTCCCAGTTTGCAGGGTGGATCTATTTACAAAATTATGCAGCGGTTCTTGAAAATTGGTTGCCGTGCTACTACCATCAGAATTTCTCAAATGCAAATTGCTGAAAGTACTCAATATAGAAGCATCTGCTTGATCAACTCCTGTATTTACAAACGAACTTGGATCCTTTTCTTGTTCTCGTTCTTGTTGTTGTGCGGGGGGTTGTTGATGACCCCCTATAGCTGCCACTGGTTGTTGATGACCCCCTATAGCTGCCACTGGTTGCTGGTGACCCCCTATAGCTGCCACTGGTTGCCGATGACCCCCTATAGCTGCCACTGGTTGCTGATGACCCCCTATAGCTGCCACTGGTTGCTGATGAACCTGAGTTTTGGCACTAGAATCAGATTTCATTTCTTGTAAAACGAGATGATAAATCGGCTCTGGCTCGGCCAGCTTATAATTTTCGTTGCTGCTGGTTTTTGTTTTCAAACTCAAAATCTTTTCCTGGTTATCATACCATACCTTGAACACTTCCTCCATAGAATAACGTTTACCCTCCTTATTTTCGCTTATGTTCTTAATGCTGGTACTGCTATCGTTACTATAATGGTAATATGTTTTGGAATGGTTACCACTACCATTGCTGGTATAATGTTGATTACTACCATTTAATGTGGAGTTGAAAGATGATGCAGATGCATCGTCCAAGTGTTCATTCAATGAATGACTTTGATTCTTGTTGACTCTTGAAAACATTACTCGATAAATTCAGCTCTTTTGCTTTTCTAGTTCTCTCTCTTTCTCTCTCTTTCTCTCTCTCTCGATATAAGACTTTCTCTCTCTCTATTGAAGACTAATATACCTCTTGCGATTGTAGGTTTTCTAATAGATCAATAAAAATTTTTACATCTCTTCTTTTATTTTTTTTCACCACCAGAAAAAAAAAAATTTAAATCGAATATAAATGCTACCATTAAAAAGATTAACTTTGATAAGTTGTACAATTCACCTTCAAATTGAAAAAAAGAGAAATCTGGTAAGTTGATCTAGATTTTGAGGAACTTTTTCTTATATAGAATGTAGGTATAACGATGAAATCAGTCATACCGTTTTGGCTTTTTTCTATTGTTGTTGGGTAGTTTTTTTTTTCCTTCTTTATCAATGTTTTTTTTTTTTTTTTGGTATCCCCCCTCCCATAGCATAGCTTGACCATATTCCAGTCAAAATAATTAAAGTCTACACTGTAGAGATGAGATTGCCATTTTTGCTCATGCTGTTTTTACTCGGACAGAGTCTCAGCATAAAAGTACCTGAAGACGACGAATTTTATGCCCCGCCACATGACTATATCGACGCAAGACTCGGGGAGATTTTGAAAGTGAGACCACCACCAAGCTCAATCCGGTCTTTGCTTGCACCCATCACAGCTATACCATGGCAATTGTTAATTCGCTCAGAGGACTCTTTTGGGAATCCAAATGTCGTAACCGCAACCATTTTAGAGCCACCTGGTGCAGATTCACAAAAGGTTTTGTCATACCAGACATTTCAAAACTCTGCGAAAAGAAGTTGTTGTCCGTCATATACCATGCTTACTGCTTCCTTCGAATCACTTGAAATACAAGCCGATCTAGCTTTTATTTCCATGGCCTTGTTCATGAAATGGTATGTGTTAATTCCCGACTATGAGGGACCCAAGCTGGCGTTTCCTGTCTCGAAACAATCAGCTCATGCGGTTTTGAATTGTATGAAAGCAGCAAAAACATTTATAAGCCAAGATGCTCTGTTTGCAATGATGGGCTATTCAGGTGGTGCCTTTGCCTCCGCCTGGGCGGCAATCTTGCAACCAAAATATGCGCCTGAATTGAAGCTAGTCGGCGCTGCTTTGGGCGGCACAATAGCCAACATTAGCGCTCTAATCAGAAAAGTCGATGGTGGACCCTACGCGGGGTTGGTGGTGAACATATTGAATGGGCTTGGTAACGAATATAAAAAATTCAAATTGGCTTTGCATGTGTATGGACCATCATTAAAAAGTTACTGTCTCTTTTCAGCTGCAACACATTATTTCGGTACAAGCTTCAACAAGGACGTATATCAAGATATATTGGAGGATAAAACAATCAACTCCATATTCAACGAAAATGATCTTTTGGGTGCAAACAAAACAGTTCCTCGTGCTCCAATGTTCCTTTACCATTCAGCAATTAATGAAGTGGCACCATTTAAGGAAGTCGACAAACTATACGACTATTGGTGTGAACAAGGTGTAACGGTGGAATTAGCAGAAGATATGAGTTTCAACCACATGATGGAAGCATTTGCGGGTATACCTGCGTCTATTACTTGGCTCAATAAGAGGTTCAAGAAAGAACCAATACTTGACCATTGTAAAAGGAGTAAAAAAACATCAAACTTTTTCTATCCCGGAAGCCCACGTTTCATTCGAAAGAAACTAAAGCATACCCTACTGCAAATAGTTTCACAGCTAATAGTGATTTGAATTAAAAAAAAAAAAAAAAATGAATAAATAAAAAATGGAAAATGGAAAATGGGTAAAACTTGCAAAAGAAGCTTAAGCTTTCATATACTCATGAAGCTTTCCCTGGCTAATGCTAAATTTTCTTGAGGTATCATGATCACACCTGATCTGGCCATGGATAAGTAACTAATATCAATTGAGTTTTCTCCATCTGTTATGAGTTTATTTGCCAACCCGGCAACAAGACCAGCACAGTTCAAGGGAAGATTGGAAAAGTCCATACTTATAGGTATCACAACATCCTGAGTTGAGCCAATCAAATTCGTTGAGTCAAACCCATACTGTAGACGAACCTTGGTAGATCTTGGCAAAATCAAGGATAATTCAGTAGATAATGTTCTTGTTATTGCAAAATATGCTGGCAGTGACGAATTAGCCAAGCAAAACACTTTTATCACTTTTAGTATAGAGTTTTTGAATTCCCCTTTTCTTGATCCTGTTAGCAATAACTCGTGGCACTCATCAATCTTTGGGTGGATATTTGCGCTTGCAAAAAGGTGGAAAGTCTTTTCAAATGAGCAAGTGAGGGGCTTTTCCAAGTTGGTGATACAGTGGTTTGAAATGTAGGCATTTGAAATTTCAGAATATTCAAAGCCCTGTTTAGATAAAATTTGTATGACTTTTTCCTTTAAATCAAATGGTATTAGGACAATGTCATTGAAATGGGAGGAGATATAAAAAACGGATATATTGTTCTCAGACAATGGCTTGGTCATTTCCAAAATCCTCAGCAGCTTATCGTATCCTCCATCTGAATAAACAATCAAACTTACGTAACGCAGTGGTAAAAGTTGCACGTCTGTATAGTCCAATTGGTGACAAATCTCCAATGGTTTGGGGAAAAACTTTTGCAATAATCTTGATGAGCAAATTATCGTACATTCATTAGGCGTTAAAGCAATATGAATAAAAGAGTCATCATCATCATCGTCATTGCTGTTATTAATATTATTATTATTGTTATTATTGTTATTATCATTATTTGAGAAATCGCTATTTCCACTAGCTCTTTGGACTGAAGTCGAGTGCGCTAGCTCGTGACTAGTTTTGCTAGTGTTATCCACTTTCTTTATGCTACCACGCCTTTCAGAATCGTTCCCATCTCCCAGAACACCACCAAATGCCCCCCGTCGTGACTCATTTTCACCGCTATTTACTCTCACTTCATTACTCTCTTGACAAATTTTCAAGCCCTCTTCATCAATTAACCCATAAAGGAGCTGTAAAATAGAACTTGTGAAAATCCAAAGCTTGGACCTCGGTATAGAGAGTATTGAAAGCTCGATTTCATTGAATTGTACCTGGATGCTCATACTTTAATCAATTATATGATGTGAAAAAAAAAAAAAAAAAAAAAAATTAAACGCTGTTCCTCTTTTAGGTAATATGAAAAAAAAAAAAAAAGAAAGAAAAGTACGAGATTCATAAAACATGGGGAAGATGTTTTACACTAAGTGAAAAAAAAAAACGGTATATATTTTTGAGTTTTCGCAGACTAATGTTTATACGCTATCTACAACAATATGTCGATAGAATGTTTCATACAACTCGATTGCTATCTACGACAATATGTCGACTATAGAATGTTTCATACAACTCGATTGCCTCTTTTTGTGATTCTATAGAGCTCTCAATAAAGATCTCCACATTGTTTCTAAAATCGTCAATCCTGCTCAATTCAAAATCATCCAATTCGTTCTTAATGGTAACGCTTATATCATCAAATTGCTTTTGTAGAATTGTTTGACGTTCTTTCAATCTTTCCAACTCAAACGATTTTTCAGGCAGGATTGGATGTTTTTTCGATAACTTGTCGATTTGTGTGTTTAATGACGATAGCAGTTGGAGGATTTTGATTCTGGTTTCAAAAACGTGGTTTATTGCTTCAATGATCCTCAAGTATTCTTCAATGGTAAAGCCAATGGTCAACTGGTCGGAAATACTAAGCCTCTCCATATTGTCTCTGATTTTGAATTCAACTTGACTAAATGCAGACAACAAGTCGCATGTGGCTCTACTAATTTCAACGGCTGCTAACTCCTCCATAGTAATAGCAAGCTCTTCCAATAAGTTAATCATATCCTGTCGCTGGCTTCCAATTAGCTCAATAGTCTTGAGGAACTGCTTTAAATTATACTCCAAGTCGTCAATATAGTCTTTTTTCTTTGTGAAAAACTGATCAGGATCGTTGACTTTGTTTGACATTGAGAATAATGAGCTCATGAATCCAGTAGAAGCAATAGCTGCATTTGCTGCTGCATTTGCTGCTGCATTAGCTGCTGCCGAAGTTGTGGAAGCAACTCCTCCTCCAACTCCTTCTCCTGCTGCTGCTGCTGCTCCTCCCCCTTCATGTATGGCTGACTCGTCTAAACCAGCATCACCAAAAGAACCTTCCTTTTCATTACACAAGAATGAAACAAAGTCTGGGTCATTACATAGCTCTGGCTTATGACTAATATTGATCAACATCTTCTCCAAAGACATTCTTCTATGCTCTACAACTTTTTCATTAAATCTACCAATATAGCTTTGTTTTGCAGGTGGTGGTGGGATAATTTTTCCAGGATGGTTGGCCTGTAATTGATGAAACAACCAACGGAAATCGCTATAACGTCTGTGAACTTCAACATACTCTTGTTTTGGGAAATGTGTTGACTCCAAGTTCTTATTCGTAGTTTTCACTGTGTATGTGATATGAGCTGTTGTTATATCTCCAACTTTCAACGGATCGCCCACAGATATGACCAACGAATTTTTGTCTCCGTGATTGTTAGCAAAAAGCGAGGATTTTTGCTCTTTTTCTTTGGTGTTTGGAATATGCTGCTCAGTTGGGCTTTTCTCGCCAAGTTCTTCCTCACTCTTAACTTCCTGGGGCGGAACACTACTATCATCCTCGACAGTAGCCTTTTTCGGCTCATGCCCTAGTGGTCCTTCTAAATCTTTGGTACCGGACTCTCCTTTTGTCAAATGTTGTATATTTATCTTTGCATTAAACTTCCTTGGTCTAATAACCTTGAATTTTTTTACCACATTGATGGGTTTCTGTGGCGAAGTAACTGATTCTTGGTCCGAAATTGATGCTAATTTGATTGGTGAATCTTTGTCATGGAAAAGCTCATCCGAGTTTTTAACACTCTGTAGGACTTTATTGTTTAAGGATTGTTCTAAATCATCTTCTTTTGACCCGTCTATCAACTCCGATAAGATTTGATTTTTCAAGTGCTTTCTTTCGCCCATGTTCAATTCACGCTTTTGTTCTTCTACCGCATTATACTTGACTTTTGGAGCTTCAACATTCTTTTCATCATTCTCTTCCTCATTCTCTTCCTCATCATCAAACCCCTTTTGAGTATCATTGAACGGGTTGGAAAACGGGTCATCGGTTAAATACGAATTAAAGGTATTGTCCACTTGGTTGAACTTTGATGACGCCGTGAAATTGTTGTCGAACCCCAATGAGTCATAATTATCCTCTACTTGAGTCTTTGGTATATCATTACTATCTTCATCATCGTCCCAAACCGATTTTGTAAGTTCGTCCATTCCTACAAAAGGGTACCAGCCAGTCTTTACTTCCTTATTCTTTTCAGAACAATCAGAGAGTCCTCTTATTTCGTATCGTATCTATTTTGCTTGTCTTATTTTTTCTACTGTGAAAAATGAGCTACCAAATTTGGGACACCACTGTTAAGAGGTCCCATTGGAAATAAAAAGAGAAGGTTTCAATAACGACAAGACATTGTTGGAACAGGACAAAGGGGTGATGAAGATCAAAGTATGGAAAGAAGGAAATCATGGTTAGAGTTTTTTGAAAACAATTTGTGTTTCTCCATGTGAGAGCATATTTTGCTATTACACTATCGAGCTAATCTGTACTGCTCCAACACTATCGAGCAGAAACTATCACGAGTGAGAATACCTCCTCCTTTTCCTCCACTTCCTCCTCCCCCCAAACAAGATTAGTATTGGGTGTCTATTGTTACAAGGGACAAGAAAAGCTCTATTGTTTCAAATACCAAATTTGGTATGACGTAATTAACTGGCACTTTTTTTATAGAGCAAGGAAGCCATAAATCTTTTTCCACGGCTTCTGCATTATTACGCAGTAAAGTAATGATTAAAAATAGAACATCATTACAAACCAAACCAAACCAAACAAACAAATAAATAAACAGAACAGAACAGAACATAACAAGTGGTGATATTTCTAAAAATATCACTAATGTTCATCGTACATTAGCTGATGAATCTGACAGGTCATTCTTATTTTATACCATCTCAGGGAGGGGGAGAAGAGTATAAAAGAGTGAGCCTAATTCCTCTTGTTTCGATTTCTATTTCGTTTCAATACTCTATCGAGTTTAGAAAAATAACAAATACAAACATGAAGTTCTTACAATCCGTTTCTTTATTAGCTTTAGCTTCTCAATCATTAGCTGCCTTATCACAGATACAGTTATTTGCCAAATCTGAAAACAAGGAAATCGACGGTAAAGGTTTATATTATACTCATGAAGGTGCTGGTATCAACTACTTTTTCATTTCAACTGAAGAATCCTCACCTCAACTCACTTATGATGATGTAAGTAAGGAAATATACAGGCAGATTAGTCCGCAAATTAGATTTCAGTTTTCAAAGGAAAGTGATATTGTACAGTTGAGTGTCTTTTCCCCAGAAACTGTAGAAATCAAAGAGGATGGACTCTTGACATTCACCGGAAGTGATACTTTGTATGCCGCAAAGAATATCAATGACCCATATAGGTATTCGGAAAATGCATATGCTGTTGTTGTTGGTGACTCCTTTGGTGGTGTACCACTTGAAATTGTTGCTAAAAAAGTTTAGTTAGTTTTATCTCAAAAGTCTAATAAATATTTTGAAATTTATATTGCATCAATCGTATAATATGTCCTCTAAAGAAAGTGTCATAGCAGTTGGCAGGCTTAAAAAAAAAAAAATGTAAAGATGCTTTGACATGTCAAAATCTTATTTCTGGATATAAATGCAGGAAAAGGTTGCAAAAGAGAAAAATTCTGCTTTGAAATTTTGGTAAGCAAAGAATACAGAACAACGAGCAATAGTAATCAAAGTTAAGCCCTTTTTTTAATAACTTCAAAGCTAAAATGCCAAAAAAAAAAGTGTTTATCATAGAAATTAACGGTTTCTTTGAAATTAATTGTTTTTTTTTTATGTTTTTTTTCATATTTTTTGTTTTTTCTTACCGGTTTCATTGCATCATCCTTTAGCTTCTTGTACCCCATCTTTGCTAGCTCCAACTTATCACAATCTTTTGTTTCACGTTCTCTAGCATTTTTCTTTCTCCGCAATTTTTCCATACTAGGCTCTACTAAGGAAACTATCTACAAAAAAAAAAAAGAAAAATTACTCATGATAAATCAAGCTTAAAGTGCCTCGGGAATCTTTTATAGACCTTAAGATAGTGTCGCTAGTGGTGGCAGCTAGTGTGCTCCACTATCTCGCTCTGCTCGATAGTGTCGGTGGCAGATAGTGTCGCTGGCTCTTCTTTTTATTCCCGGCTTGTGCGAAAAAACTGGGCTCTTTCTACCTTTCCGACCAACCCCGGAATTTTATGGAACAAATCAGTAAAATCTAAAAGTTTAATGAATTACTTATTTTGGTATCGTATGAGGCTCATTTTCCAGCCTATCAAATCATTTCATTTGTAATGCATTTGTATAATCAACAAACCCATATACTTTTTATTTCAAAATCATTCAAAGAAAAGAAAAGCCACTTTTCATGGACAACCCGACTTTCCGTCTGTTCCTTTTAACCACCATGTAAGTTAACGGCTCTAACCTACTCTGATTCTTGCCAGTCAATGATCATCTTTCTCTCCTCTCCCTCCTTACCTTCCCATTATAATGTAAAGGGAAAAAAAGAAAAAAAAAAAAAATTATCTAAAATGTAGTGGGAAATAAAGTGAGGTTTAAAAGTTGATTCAACAAGTGAAACCAGTTCTGATTTTTTTTTTTTTTCACTTCTACTCCAACTCTTGAAGATTTTTCTTCTCCTGTCATTTCTTCATCCTCAAAGAGAATAGCTTTACAGTCAAATACAAACCGTTTTTCCTTGAACTCACGGTCCCAATTGCTACTACTGCTGAATTTCTGGAACTACCAAAAACTAACTAAACCAAACCAATTTCCCCCCTCCTCTACTAACATTTAAAGAACACTTTTCTTCAAGAGCTTAGTTTTCTTTTTCTTTTTTCTTTTTTTTTTTTTTTGGTTGGTTCTGTTCTTGTTTCTTTTCTCTTTGCTGATATTCACCAAATGTTGTCCTTGCTTCGTTGTCAGGCAAGGTCCACCCCTGCTACAAGAGTAGCTAAATGTTTTTCAACGACAGCAATAAGATCACAGGTTATTGGATCGAATGTTAAAGGTAAAGATTTCGATGCAGCTAGAATTATGAACCAAAAATACCACGTTGTTGATCATGAATACGACTGTTTGGTTGTTGGTGCAGGTGGTGCAGGTTTGAGAGCTGCGTTTGGATTGGCATCGGAAGGTTATAAAACCGCTTGTGTCTCTAAATTGTTCCCTACTAGATCACATACAGTTGCTGCTCAAGGTGGTATCAATGCTGCTTTGGGTAACATGCATCCTGATGACTGGCACTGGCATTTCTACGATACTGTCAAAGGTTCAGATTGGTTAGGTGATCAAGATGCTATTCATTATATGACAAAAGAAGCACCAGCATCAATTTACGAGTTGGAAAACTATGGTGTTCCATTTTCAAGAAATGAAGAAGGAAGAATTTACCAAAGAGCTTTCGGTGGTCAATCCAAGGAATACGGTAAAGGTGGCCAAGCTTACAGAACTTGTGCTGTTGCCGACAGAACCGGTCACGCTTTGTTGCATTCGTTATATGGTCAATCATTGAGACACGATTGTCATTTTTTTATTGAGTTTTTTGCTATGGACTTGATGATGCAAGATGGCGCTTGCATTGGTATAATTGCTTACAACGAGGAAGATGGTACTTTGCACAGATTCTTTGCCAACAGAACAGTTATGGCCACTGGTGGATATGGTAGAGCTTATTTTTCATGTACTTCTGCTCACACTTGTACTGGTGATGGATATGCTATGGTTTCAAGAGCAGGATTGCCATTAGAGGATTTGGAGTTTGTTCAATTCCACCCATCAGGAATTTATGGATCAGGTTGTCTCATCACAGAAGGAGCCAGAGGTGAAGGTGGTTTCTTGGTCAACTCTGAAGGTGAAAGATTTATGGAACGTTATGCTCCTTCTGCTAAGGATTTGGCTTCTAGAGACGTTGTTTCAAGAGCTATTACTATGGAAATTAACGAAGGAAGAGGTGTTGGACCTGAAAAGGATCACATGTACTTGCAACTATCACACATCCCTGCTGCTGTTTTGAAAGAAAGACTTCCTGGAATTTCCGAAACAGCACACATTTTTGCTGGTGTTGATGTCACCAAGGAACCAATTCCAATCTTGCCCACCGTCCACTACAACATGGGTGGTATTCCAACCAACTGGCAAGGTGAAGTTTTGAAAAGGGGTCCTGATGGTAAAGATGAGGTTGTTCCTGGTTTGTTGGCATGTGGTGAAGTAGCTTGTGCTTCTGTCCATGGTGCTAATAGATTAGGTGCCAACTCATTATTGGACTTGGTCGTTTTCGGAAGAGCCGTTTCACACACCATCGCCGCTACTTTGAAACCGGGTGAACCAATTAAGCAACATGATAAGGCAATTGGCTATGAGTCCATTGCCAACTTGGACAAATTAAGAAATGCCAATGGTACTAAATCAACTGCAGAGATTAGATTAGATATGCAAAAGACTATGCAAAAGGGATGTGCAGTTTTCAGAACTCAAGATACATTAGATAAATGTGTTGAACATATTAAGAAAGTTGATGAAAATTTTGCCGACGTTAAAACAAGTGACCGTTCAATGATTTGGAATAGTGATTTGGTTGAGACTTTGGAATTGCAAAACTTGTTAACTTGTGCTACCCAAACAGCAGTATCTGCCGCCGCTAGAAAGGAGTCAAGAGGTGCACACGCTAGAGATGATTACCCAGATAGAGACGATGTTAATTGGAGAAAACACACGTTATCATACCAGGATGGATTTGGCGCCCCAATCAAATTGGAATACAGAGATGTTATCAAGCACACTTTGGACGACAATGATTGTAAACCTGTACCTCCTGCTAAACGTGTATACTAGTTGAAAGAAAAAAATGAAAAAGATGAGGAAAGAACATCAATAATGAAATCCAAATCAAAAAAACAAAACAAAACAAAACAAAACGAGAGAAATCGATACATAGTGGAGTCTACCCAGGAATTTATATATAGATATGTATATTTATTTGTGTGGTGGTGGTAGTGGTGGTGGTAGTGTGTGATACAATGTGATGTAAGTGTGAGAGCTTTAAATTGTTTAAGGGTCTTGTGATTCAGAACTATTATATAAATTATATGGATGGACCGGAATATCCTGTTATAAAAAGTTATTTAATTATTATGCGCATTAAATAAAGTAAAGAAAAAATAAAAATAAAAGTAAAGTACACAATTTTAATGATAGCAATTGTAAGAATAAATAGGAGAGGGCATTTCATCATAATGCTGACCCCCCCACACCTCTTCCCCATAACTTGCATTGAAAATCGCCCTTTACAAAGCATCTCTTATATAAATAGATCTTGAAACGTTCCCCAACGGACTTTCTTTTGTTGAAATGCTATTTTGATTAATAAATCTTGAATTTCGAAACAAAATTAGCGTTTTCAAGTATAACTTGGGCCCCAACATCCAACCCCCTAGCTACCCCCCCCCTCCCCCCAACCTCGAAACCTCCCCCACTTTCTTTCCTCCCTTTTTCTCTCTTACACTGCCCATTTTGCAATATTTTTCATCACTTCAAATTTACAATATATAGATAAATGAGCTCTTCAACCAACGATATAATTTCCTACTGCAACCCGGATTTGGGACCATTGCCAACTAAACCACCTTCATTAGATACTGACATTCTATCCTTGTTTTCTCTCAAGGGCAAGACTGCTTCGGTTACTGGGTCGTCTGGTGGTATTGGTTGGGCTGTAGCAGAAGGGTATGCACAAGCAGGTGCAAACGTTGCAATCTGGTATAATAGCCACCCCGCGGACGACAAAGCCAAGTACCTTGAAGAGAAATACGGAATCAAGTCGAAAGCTTACAAATGCAATATTAGCAATGCCGACGATATTTTACGTGTTGTTAAGGAGCAAGTTGCTGAGTTTGGAACAATTGATATCTTTGTTGCAAATGCTGGTGTTGCATGGACCGATGGGCCATTGATCAATCAGCCAAATTTGGACAAGTGGAATCAAGTCGTGGATACTGATTTAAATAGTGTCGCTTACTGTGCATACGCTATTGGGCCAATATTCAAAAAACAAGGCAAGGGCTCAATGGTTATTACCGCGTCAATGTCGGCATCAATTGTCAATGTGCCTCAATTACAAGCGGCATATAATGCAGCAAAAGCTGGCGTAAAGCATTTATCAAAATCGTTGGCGGTAGAATGGGCTCCATTTGCCAGAGTTAATACAGTTTCCCCAGGTTACATTGCAACTCATTTATCAGCATTTGCTGATCCGGCTGTTAAAGCAAAATGGGAGCAATTGACTCCATTAGGTAGAGAAGGTACTACTAAAGAGTTGGTGGGGGCCTATCTATATTTGGCTTCAGACGCCGCTTCGTTTACTACGGGTTGCGACTTGGCTGTTGATGGAGGCTACACTGTACCATAAAAAAAAAGACTTATAGAAAATAGAAAACAGGAAAGTTGAAAAAAAAAAAAAACAAAGCAAAACAAAATAAAACAAAGAAATGAAGTAGCATTTGACCCTGTTTGGACCTTTTATTCGTAGATTTACTTGCAAATAAGATGTGTTATTTTTTTTACTCTTTGTCTGCATTGTATAGTCGCTGTTTCACTTTAGTTGATCGAGTGAAGTAGATTCAATTAGTGGGGGGCGAGGAGGGGGTCGTGGGATTCCCCCCCTCGCCCCGCGTGTGCGCCCACGCGCGCGCCCTGACACATCTTATTTGTTATCACGTGATATATTCTTTTTTTTGGAAAGAAAGGAGATTGCTTTTACACATCAAAGGTGATTAAAAGAGGGCTAAATAGTTGAGTAAAGCATATCATGCTAATTTTACGAGTGGCAAGATTAATGCAGCTTGCCAAAGGGTGTCAATGCTACCAACAAGAAAGAGTCAATTGGGGTTTTACACGATAGACCCACAGGTATTGTATAGAACCACTCTCATCTATTATGTCGTTTAATATGTTGAGCCTTTCAAACTTTTCCCCGAAAAGTAAGTAAGTACCAATCGTCCTTCTCCCTCCTTGCTCCCCTCTTCCATTATATATTTGAGTTTTTGTAATTTAAAATATAACGTCATCTTCAGTTTCTTCCAAAACGAGATTGCTGGCATCTGCTTTAACATCAATTTTCTCAGTATTGCCTTGAATACCAGATACATCCGTCAACCCTTCAGCCTTGGCTAAATTCAATTTATCTTCAGCCTTTGCTAAATTCAATTTATCTTCCTTTTCGGCAGCAGCAGCAGCCTCTTGTTTCTTTTCCTGTACTTTTTTCAACCTATAAAACTCCTCTCTATCCAATTCATCTAATTCCGAATTGATATAAGCAATGGTGTTTTCTGTCCTTGGAATGATGACATGCTCAATAGCATTAACTCTTCGGTTTGTGACTTTGATCACTTCGTCCAAGATAATAAAGGCAGTCTGCAATGAGGCCAATTCAACTAAGGTCTCTACAGCTTTAGTATAAACTAGCTTGGCCTTTTGAACTTGTTGGCCGCCTCGGCCCAATCCTGTCAATTTGAAATCATTGATATTTTCGTTGATGTGGCTTTCGAATGTCGGCAAGTAAACACCTGAAACATTCTCCTGTTTAGCTTGTATTGTGAAACGAGCTTTTTGCACAGATTCTTGAACTTGGTATGAGATATTGTCACCAGTAGCATAAGAAACTTCAGCTAGTGAGAATGCTGCTGTTTGCATAACTCTGCCCATCTTTGTCTTTGCATCATCTATTCTTTGCGTTATATCCCTAAATCTTTTGGTCAATGCCTCTGACTTTCTCTTCAATAACGAGTGGCCCTGTTGAGCTCCTTTGAGTTTAGTCTTCATCACACCCAAAGTCATACGTGTGGGAAACACCTGCTCACGATTACCGGCTCCTGACATAACTGATAGTCTCTAGTTTTAAATTGGGAAATCAACAAGGGCACCAGCACCAGCACCAGCTTCTTCACGTAAAGATTTGCTGAAAGAACAAGCTTCTACTTAAACGACTTGGCTCGATAAAACGACTTGACTCGTTTTAGTAGAGGAGAAAAAAAGAAAGAGAGAAGAGAGAGAGAAAGAAAGAAAGAAGAAAGGAAAGCAAGAGATGAGAATGTATATCAATAGTTTTCATACCAATTTGAGCAGAGGTGTGCGCGGTACTTATAGAACCAAGTATAGGATGGTATGATGGTAGATATTGATGAGCTTATAAATGAGCAAGACTTTTCTTATGAAGAAACGTTAGCAAAGAATGATAAACTGGTAGATTCTTGGATATCTTATTATGAACTGAAAATCAATCATCCATTGATATCACGTGTTTTCGTTATAAAACGAGCTGTTGACTCGGTCAAGACCGATGCAACTCTATGGAATATGTATCTCGATGTAATTATCAAAGAGCACAAGTTCATCTCAAAGGAGGACCAACTTGCAATCTTTGACCAATGCGTTAAAGAACAACCCAAATCATTTCCACTTTGGATCAAAATTCTTGACCATCTCTTGGACCACCAGTTCATTGAGTATATAACCTATATACGAAGAAAGTTTAACCAATGTTTGCAGAACTTGCCAGTGGAAGATCATGACAAGATTTGGCTGATATATTTAAAGTTTGCCGATATAGTAGGTGGAAAGACCGGTGTGAATATTTACATGAGATTTTTCAAATTTATTGATCCTAGAGTACTAAAAGGGATCGGAGTCGATTACGAAATCGAGGTATCGATGAACATCTTGGATTTTATTGAAAAGCTTATTGAATTTGGAGATGTTGATGATGTTTTAAAGTTGTATTCGGAGGTGGTTATGGTCAATTCCAATGAGTATTCTAACTTACCGAAATCGCAACTCGAGATATTGTTTAATTATTTGGATTTCTTAATAGCCAAATCGCAAATATCTGATAAAGAATTTGAAAAAATAGTTAACAAAGCCATTGACAAATTTCCTGATCAAATTACCACGTTACAGTTGAAGCATATTGGGTTTATCAAAAAGAAAAAACATTCAGATAGGTTACAGATACGAAATCTCTATCAAAAATGTATCAAGACATGCGGAACAGTACAAGATTTCAAGAGCGCTTATAATGAGTTTACACAATTCGAAGAAGATGAAATTGATAAGCTAATCAACACCGATCCAGGCCACAATAAGTCTGAACTTGAACGAATGTTGAACGATTTTGAACAGCTTTTATATCAAAGAAAACAGCTAGTCAATGACTTACAGCTACGACAAGATATCAACAATGTTGATTTCTGGTTCATACGATTTGACATTTTTAAAGATCAACTACCTCAAAAAATTAAATCCATAACAGAAGCAATAAAGTCAATAAATCCATTGAAAATTCCTCACAACTGCAAACATAAGCTTTCTGATATTTGGAAAATGTATGCTGGAATATACTCATCTTCATCAGATTTCAAAACTGCTGATTTTATAATAAGTAAATCTGTTCAATCACAGTATCCTCATCCCGATGAATTAGCTGAAATGTATATTTACTGGAGTGAAATGAGATTGGGCAGTGATTATTTCAAAGAAGAGCAAGCTCTTGAAGTATTGGAGAACGTATTGTTCAAAGAACAAGAAGAGGTGGTGGAAGCAAAAAAACAGAGCAGTTTTTCTTATTATGACTCAAAAATCCCCGTGCAGAAAAGAATCACCAAATCAATCAAATTGTGGCTATTTTTTATTGACTTGATTGAGTCGTTTTTGGAAGATAATGAGGATGATTCACTGTTGATTTCCCAGGTTGTTGAGGCTTTTGAGCAAATGATTAAATTGAAGATTGCTACACCTAATATAATGATCAGGTATGCTCTCTTTCTAGAAGCACATAAACAGATTGAAAAATCATTGAGTATTTATGAACGAGCAGTGCAAGTTTTCAAAGACGAGTTGATCAAAAAGGGAGTTTGGAAAATTTACTCTACAAAGTTGAAATATATAGATAACAAGGAGAGAGTAAAGGATATTCAAGAGCGATTTCAAAAAGAAGAGCAGAGGTAAGAGAGGAAATAAGTAAATAAATAAGTATTATATCAATTGTGTACGTGTGAGTTACACAAGTAACCTCCCTTATTTAATACCTGTGAATCTCGTTCATATTTTCAGTTACTATTCTTTCAATGAAATAAAGAAAACTAGATACTTGGTGACCTTTCAAAAAGTAGTTTTCAACATTTTGACTGAATAATTGACCAAAATAGAGTATATAAAAGGAAACATGAAAATTTCCACCAGTTGAAAGTTTTTCTACGTAACTTTCTCTTTTCAAACTTGTTCCATATACTTTGTTCATCTTTCAACCAAAGTCAAGCCTATATCTTGTTATAATCTTCTCATTTATTAACTACAGTCTCTTCTTTTGCAAATACATATCCATAGACACCCAAGCAAAGATATCTACATTAACAACTTGACATTGATAACAAAAAAGTCCCAGATAGTTTAGTGGCTAGAATTACCGTTTGTCGCATGGTAGACCAGGGTTCAATTCCCTGTCTGGGAGGAAATTTTAATAATTCTAATTATTATTTTTTTTATTTTTTTTTTTTTGCAACTTTTACCAAAAATTAACCTTAAAGCTTGTTAAGTATTTATATATATATATGATGTGGTCTCAAAAGAGTGACAGTGGCGAAACTTTGAAGAAGTGACATGTGTTTACGGGGCCGTTTGGGAGTACACTTTCGGTTAGAAACAGTACCCTTTTTTTTTAATTTATTTTTTATCTTATAAATAATAAAAATACATTCTATAAATTACCACATTAAAAAAAAAAAAAAAAACAAACAAACTGCTCTACTCTTTACTCCACTCATTCTTTCTCCTTACAAATTGGTGAACCAATCAACCAAAATGGTGCCTACTCCAACGATGCACAAACTTATCCATATTCATCATGTGATTAGGACAATAATTAATTCTTATTCCATTACTTGGAACCTTTACCAATTCATCAAAACTGTTCCAGCCTAAATGATAATTAACAAAAATCGTCTTTGCAAAAGATTTCATCAATTTAAAATTATTCTTTTCTCTGGTTTTAATGGATTGCGAATTCACAATCAATAAAGTTAATAATTTCATAACAATCTCTAAACTTGGTGAATTGATGATGATGGTTTGCTCTTCATCTTTTGTGTTTGTTCCTTGTAGTGGTGATGGTTGTTGCTGTTGCTGTTGCTGTTGCTGTTGCTGTTGCTGTTGCTGCTGTTGCTGTTGTTGATTTGCGGAAAAAGTTAATTTTTGACAATCGTCAAATTTCAAAATTGTCAAAAGTAAATGATTTGTAGTAAAATTGGCCAATTCTGGTTCAGATTCTAAACTTATTTGGGAGAATTTAGTATCTAAAATTTCGTGCTGTATCAACTCTAATAAACAGTATATTTCAATAATATCCACATGAGGAAATAAAGTCAATAAGATGGTAATTACCAAATAATCCTTTTCAGCTAATCCCGATTCGCTGATACTTTTGATATATAAAAGATGCTTTAGATTTAATCTAAATTCATCTAAATCAATGCCCGAATTAACGACAAACGGTTGAGTACTCATTGACTTGATGATTTTGTTGTACTCCAAATCTTTATTCCTCTTCATTACATCAGTCAACATAACCAATTTTTTATCGAATAATTCAAACAGGTGACGTATAGTATTTAAGGAATCTTGTGATGAATAGTTATTTGATAATACCTTGATAAAGAATTGAAACGTGTGAGTTTTGGGTATATTACAATCCCATGCTAGCTTTCTTATTTGATTTTTATCAACAGTAAGTTTTTTATTGAAATGCTTGTTATCCAACTCAATCAATGAATCGATAATCTTTACCCACTGTTGACCACTAGCGATTTTGAATTGCTCATTCTTCAACCGAAGGTCAACTTCGTTTTGAATACTTGTTTGGTACAGATCCAAGGTATTGTTGAATTCTTTATTGTGACGACTTTTATCGGTTGGCGATTTTGGTGGCAAATTGATTGGTCTAGTTTGATCCAAATATGACAATTTTTCAGGTGATATTAAATGCAAATCTTCCAAAGATGATTGTGATTTGATAAAGGAGGGAAGTTTATAAAATAGATTTTGCTCTCTTGATGATTTAATGAGTTTTGAAACTGATTCACTTCTCTGAGAATAGAAATCGGATATGTTGCTTGCAATTATCTCAGAGTCATCAGTTATCATCGACTCATCTTCTTCTAATATGCTGCTTTCATTTTTCGAGTTATACTGAGGTAAATTAGCAGAGCTCAATTTTCCAGGTAACGGGCACGGTCTAATGTTGTATTTATCATTATTATCACTGATCAAATCGTTTCTTGATAGTATGGTAACCAAACTGTTGCCTAGTGTTGCTGTCGAGGAGGAGAAGGAGGAGGAGCTGGAGAAGGAGGAGGACAACGTGGTGTTGGCGGTGGAGTTGTTGCCTTTGGAGTTATTACTTCCAATATTATGACTACTACTACTACGCCTTCTAGTCAACGAGTACAAGTCATTTTGATTTTTAATCACAGGAACATTAAAGATAAGACTATCCAAATCATTTGATAAAATCTCCTCCTCGTCATCATTTTCCTCATACTTTTTTTTCCTTAAAATCTGACGCTCTTTACTTTCTTGTGAAGTCACAAATCTCGATTTTGACCTATGTATTGGAGGTATACTTGCAACCGACTTTGACCGAGATGTTTTATTTGGTGGTTGTGGGAATGGTTGTAATGGTACACCCGGGCTTGATACATTTATTGTTGATGCAGCTTTGTAATATAGACAATGCTTGAATTTTCCTGAATTAGCCATACTGGTCTCTTGATTACTGAAAGTTGAGGTCATTGAGCTTAGCCTCGTATCGGTTATTGATTCTCTATTTGAAGCCGATGTTATCTGGGAGGAGGATCCAGGTACTGGAGCATCAAATTGGGAAGATAAAATCAGTGAATGGTCATCTGAAGATGAGGATTGTAGGGACATCAAGGAATCCTGCGATAGCCTTCCTTTGTATAATGCCAGGTGGGACAGCAGCAGCAGTGGGAACACACTAGACTGTTTTTTGGGCACCAGCAGCGACACATTAGACTGGTTTTTAGGCACCAGCAGCGACACATTAGACTGGTTTTTAGGCACCAGCAGCGACACATTAGACTGGTTTTTAGGCACCAGCAGCGACACATTAGACTGGTTTTTAGGCACCAGCAGCGACACATTAGACTGGTTTTTAGGCACCAGCAGCGACACATTAGACTGTTTTCTGGGAACCAGCGACGATGATTTTGACATAATCTTCTGCATATAATAATCACCTGGTCTCTTGATCTGATTACATGTAACCTGCATCGGTATAGTTGAGTCTTCACTCAAAGTAGGTAAAGATGACATCGACATTACCCTTTTAGGTGTGGGACATACACCTATTTTGTTGACACACATACTTGACGACGTGATTTTTCTTGAACTAAGTGACACATCATATAAATTCTGACTATCTATCGAACCAATTGACATCTGGTAAAAAATGAGGCGTCACAATGGGGGAGGGAGGGGTGTCACAATACCACTCTCGTGGAAAGAATACTTGTGCGAGTATTTATATAAATAGAGCAATCACTTCTTCTATTAAAAATGTTACTAGTAACAAAAGATTTTTTTCTTTTTTTTTATTTTTATTTTTATTTTTCAGTTGGGGGTTATTAGTATTAGTATTTTACTATTTTACTGGCAAGTAAGTTGAGATTTGGGAGATCTGAGTACTACTAGCGAGCAAAGCGAGCTAGTGGAACAGTATGTAATCAGACCCGTGTGTAAGGATGCAATCAAACCCGATAGTATTGTGTAAGGCGAGATAGTGGGGGATAGTAGAATGTAATGTAGTTTATTTTTCTAGATGTGTGAGTGAAGAATGTTAGACACTAGCGACTAGCGAGTTCCACTAGCGAGCAAAGCGAGTTACACCAGCGAGCAAAGCGAGTTACACCAGCGAGCAAAGCGAGCTAGTGTGATTACATACTGTTCCACTAGCTCGCTTTGCTCGCTGGTGTTACTCGCTTTGCTCCTGGAACAGTATGCAATCAAACCTGTGTTTAGAGGTATAACAAGTCAAGAGTAGCTTATGACAAGTCGAGAGTAGTTCATAACTAGTTACGAGTAGTTTATGACAAGTAGTGCAAACGTTGTTTTGTGCAGCCTTGTACTCCTTCCTCAAATAAGAACAAATTTCATTATATAACATTGGTAGCAGATATCAAAATGTAGCCGAAAACGAGGTTACTGCATATGGAATACCCAGTATGACAAATTTCACTTTATTTCATTGATTCTTGTGTCAGTTAGTCAGATGAATAGCAATAGTTATAAGCAAATCATCAGGCAATAACTATCAGGCAATACTTTTCTGGTAGTAATACTAGAATACCATTGTAAATTACTAGAATATTTTCTGGTAAATTACTAGAATACTTTCTGGTAAATTACTAGAATACTTTCTGGCAGTAGTTTATTAGCAGTTTTCTGGTACTTTACTAGAATAGTTTACAATTGCTTATAACTATTGCTCCACAACTTTCTATAAATTTCCCTTTGGTTTGACCAATTGGGAACAAATTTTTACTAAAATTGTAGACTTTGGCAACTTAAATATTCAACTATCCTATTGACACCAAAAGATTGATAAACAATATTCTGCATCTATACTATTTTTAGCATTGTAACCCATTTGCAAACTTTTTTAGCCAACTAAGATTTCAAGTCTCATTTTTGCACTGAATCTAGTACCATTTGATTGCTATGAATGCGATAAACAAATAAACATTAAAAAGATAAAGTAAACAAGCGAAACGAACAAACAATACAAACAATACAAACAATACACTCTTTACATGAAATGAAGAAACAAAACAAACAATACACTCTTTACATGAAAAGAACAAACAAAACGAACAATCAATACACTCTTTACCCACAAACATCTCTCATTACACCTCTCATTACATCTCTCATTACACCTCTCATTACATCTCTCATTACACCTCTCATTACATCTCTCATTACACCTCTCATTACATCTCTCATTACACCTCTCATTACATCTCTCATTACACCTCTCATTACACCTCTCATTACACCTCTCATTACACCTCTCATTTCGTCTCTCATATTACATCTCACACAAAACACATTGACATGAAACAAATTACTAAAAACCAATACTAAAAAATCAACATACTGACGTGTTGCTTCTTAAAAGTTTTCTTTTTTCACATTCTTATATGCCGGTGTTTTTAACAATAGGAACTCACATGTACAATAAAGCTAATGTTTCTTTTCTATGCAAATAGATACCATAAACCCCTGATGAAAGAGACTAATTCTTAAAATCACAAGTCATCGTTTAACAAAGGGGAAAAAAAAGAAAAGGATTTCAATAAATAAGCTATTTTTGCATACTCAAGTTGGTTCTATTTACCCTTTCTTTTCCCTTTTTTCACTCCTACTGGTTGTAAAAAAATTGGTTCGCTCGATAGTGTCTGTGGCAGCTAGTGCGCTCTGCTCAATAGTGTCGTTTCTATAAATAATATTGACGCACTTAGATCTGCATTTTGCATTCTTTATTAATAATTTTTTTCTTTCTTTTTTTTTGACCCGAAAGGGATGGGGCGGGTAAAAAGATAAAGGTACCTTCCCTTGTCAATTTGGATTGCAACTAAAAGCCGAGATAGTGTCGGTGACAACTAGTGTGCTCCACTATCGAGATGGTGTTGCAGAATAACCAAATAACTGCTATACTAACTATATCCTACATGGGTTTGTTTTTGTAGAGGCGGAAATAAAATAAGGTACTTGTAGGATATGCTAGCTTTTACAATCATACTTGTAGAATATGCTAGCTTTTACAATCGTACTTGTAGAATATGCTAGCTTTTACAATCATACTTGTAGAATATGCTAGCTTTTACAATCTCTCCATCCACTTTTCATATAATCGCATTGAAAATAAGTCAAATAACATCAAACACATATTGCGTTTCAACTAGGCAACTAGCCGCTCCCTCATTCCCCAGAATTGCTTAATCGCAACAAAAGCATGAGTTGTTGAAATGTATGAAATTTGTATATATAAAGAAGAATATTCACTCCCATATATATCTATCACGATTCTTCCTGGCCTCTTTATGAGATTTCTTTTTTTTTTATAAAAAGGAAAAAAACGCACAATTCACTTTTTGTTAATTTGCATATTATCTTATCGATTGTTCTATATTATCGTCTATGTATATTAATTTTAATCATCTTCTATCCACTCAGTACTGCTCATCTGCAGCAATCTGCTCAAAGCTCTTGCAAATGCAAACTTCTCCTCGTCAGTAGCAACAAATAAACTAGCCTTTTTAGCAATCAGTTTATCAAAGCCATGTTTGGTCACTAGATCATCATCTTCAAATGTATCCTCTTTACCCCCCATTTCCTTTTCTCTCTTATATAAACTATAGTGATCACCAGATGCAGATAATTGTTCAGGCTCAACAAATAAATCCTTAAACGGCGCCGCCGAGGTTACAGCTAGTTTCCCATGAGAATCATAAACTGCATCTAAAAACGTAATGAATCTCCTTATTTGATTACGCTCATTGATTGAAAGAAACGGAATATCAGTGATGATAAACGAATTAAAGTGTTCTGCCAAGGTTAAATAGTCTCCTGCAGCCATTGGCGTACCACATAGTTGGAAAAATGTAAATTGTGCAACATTTGGCGGTGAACACAAGGGAACATGAATCTTTCTCCCCCAAACATCCAATGAATAATCAGTCAATTTTTCCTCTTGGGTATTTCCCTGATTGAAATATTCATACCATGAAGCAACGTGCTTTGCACAATTCAGTTGATTAACCTTGCTTAACCATTTGACACCGGGCTTTGGGAAATAATAAACCGAACTCATTGGTTTGGGAATTTTTCTATAGTCAGTAGGCGAGTTCAAATAAATTACGCGGCACTTGTGTTTGATCAATTGTATACAAGGAATAAAAGTAACACGTTGGATCCCATTCAAGTACAAATCATCTGGTGCTCGATTACTAGTGGCAAACAAAACTACACCATACTCTGGAGACAATAATAACATCAACAATCGACGTAGTAGCATTGCGTCCGCGACATCAGTAACCTGAAACTCATCGAAACATAAAACAGTAGCCAGATTGGCAATCTCAGATGCTAAAATAGGTATCACATCAAGATCATCATGTCCACTAGCTGTTTTATGTTGCATTTTCAATTGGTGAGTACGTTTATGAACTTTTTGCATAAACTGGTGGAAATGTACTCTCATTTTGGGTAAATGCAAAGGAATAGTTTGGTAAAATAAGTCCATCAACATGGTTTTCCCACATCCTACATCCCCATAAAGATAAATCCCCCTGACTCCATTTTTGTTGGAGAAATCTTTTTCAAAATCAATTTCTTCACCAACATTGCCTCCTTTATTATGTCGATCCTTACCAAAAAATGAGGAAATCACTTTAGTAATGAAAAAACCTTTTGGCCGTGACTGTGACGATAACTCTGAAGCACTGGGTATAGTAACTTTTGGTGGCTTATAGTCAGACAACAGTTGGTGCAATTTCGATAATGACGCAATGATTTTCCTCTGATATGGATCGTCCCGTAATTTACCAAGTTCTACTCTTTTATCGTATAGTGCAAGCGGCGTCATTATCTGAGACTGAGACTGAGACTGAGACTGAGACTGAGACTGAGACTGAGACAGAGACGACGACGTCATTTCTTGTGCTAGTCGAGATGTACAAGTCAACATCCGTCGCCATTGTTGATTGAACTCACAATTATTCGATATTCGTAATAGTATACTATTTTGTAGCATCCTAAGTCTCTAAAGCCCCTTTTTCTGTATTCATTTGATGAATAGAAAACCTGGGGTAAAATCGAATCAACAAACCGATGGATTGAAAAAAAAATATATATATATATGTACAAAAAATAAAGATGAGAAAAATGGAGGAGAAAAAAGAAAAAGAAAAGGCCGTGGTTAATACACACAGGTGTGATAAAGATGGTTTTCGCATACTTTAGTGCAAAATGTAGTTTAAAGTTTTCACCCAGTGGGTCTTGATATATATGAACCATAAAAATGGTGGTTTCATCTAATAGTAATATCTTTGTAAAAATGAAGCGAACAAAATATTGGAAACAAAATATTGGAAACAAAGAGGATATTGGAAACAAAGAGGATATTGGAAACAAAGAGGATATTGGAAACAAAGAGGATATTGGAAACAAAGAGGATATTGGAAACAAAGAGGATATTGGAAAGGAACAGAATATTGGAAAGGAACAGCTCCTAAATCAGATATGGTTACACTGATGACGTTCTAGTTATATGGGTTTAATTGTGTTCCACACGATGGAGATGGCGCGCGCGCGCCGAGGGGCGAAGGAAAAAAATAATAAAAAAAAAAGAAAGTTCCTTGAAATAATCATTACAATCTTTGACCAGGGTTAGAAGCTTCCATTTATTACCATGTCGGTACAAGCGTCACCTGAGCTACATACTCTACTGGATGTGGCAACGAAGCCCCATTCTTTTAAGCAAAACTCACAAAGGAAACCAATTGTAAGTAGAAGATACAAACCAGCTCGGCAACTAATATCCGATGAAATAAAATATATCCAACTGAAAACTAATTTGTCACCAGATAAACCAACCTATCTATCAATCACTGCACCACCCAGCTTACTACCCCAAAAACACTATTGTGATATAACTGGCTTAGAAGGGAAATACAAAAATCCCGCTAATCAATTAAGGTTCCACAACGTGGAGATATACCAAGAGGTGATTAAAAATATGCCACCTGGAGTTGACCAGAGTTATCTAGAGTTGAGAGGCGCAAATATAGTGTTGAAATGATGGTTTTGATTATGGTGTATCTGTATATAAGAATGTTACGCAACACATGATTCCTTTCAAACTCTCAAATGTTATTCCTCTTGCAAACTCTCAAAAATTTTCAACTAATTCTTTTACTTTATTGTGAAATTTCGGCGAGTTCAACGCTTCATCCTCTTTATCTTCGATACTGCTCCTAGTTTCAATTCCAAAGTTCCTAAACGGATTACATATTCTCCTTAAATACAACCGGTAAACATCCTTAATAAATTTGCTCAAAGCATCCAATTGTACCAGGACTTTCTGATCAACACCAACTATAATTTTCAATCCATTATTGGACTCATACCCATATACAATAACTTGATCCTGTATAAATAAAAGCAAAATGCCATCTGCACTGTCTCCCTGCTGTTGCTGTTCTCGTAATGATAACGATGTTGGCGATGTAAAGATATCCAAAGCCATATGACTAAAAAAATTGAACTTGAGAAACTGGTTCATTGCTGAAGGGGAGAGGGAGAGGGAGTGGGAGCCGGATTCAGAGCCGGAGTCAGAATCAGGTAGAAACGATTGGATATATAATGGTTTATCAGTTCTAGATATTATAGATACAAATTGAATTGGATTCGATTTGGTTGGGTGAAGGGGCGGCGGTACCGCATGTGGAAGAGTCTTTGTCTGTGACATGATCTATGTGCACTACTGACTATCTATTGTAAGTAGCTTTATCATCAACGAGTTGTGATTTTTTGTAATAGGGCCAGAAGAGTGAGGGGGGATGGGTCAGAACATCTCTTTTCGGCGAACCTGAAAAAATAAAACTCCACGACAATCTCCACTATCCACTATCGAGCGAAGCGAGATAGTGGAGCACACTAGCTGCCACTGACACTATCTCCACTATCGAGCAGAGCGAGATAGTGGAGCACACTAGCTGCCACTGACACTATCTCCACTATCGAGCAGAGCGAGATAGTGGAGCACACTAGCTGCCACTGACACTATCTCCACTATCGAGCAGAGCGAGATAGTGGAGCACACTAGCTACCACCGACACTATCTCCACTATCGAGCAGAGCGAGATAGTGGAGCACACTAGCTACCAACGACACTAGAGCACACTAGCTGCCACCGACACTATCTCGCTTCGCTCGATAGTGTCAGTCAGTGCTGCTCCACTATCTCGCTTCGCTCGATAGTGTCAGTCAGTGCTGCTCCACTATCTCGCTTCGCTCGATAGTGTCAGTCAGTGCTGCTCCACTATCTCGCTTCGCTCGATAGTGTCGCTCGATAGTGTCGCTCGATAGTGTCGCTCGATAGTGTCGTGTCGGATAGAGAATATATCCAATGGACAAATAGGCTTTACAACATATAGGTTATCTTTTCGTTGAAAATAGTTTTACTTTAAATTGGACTTTCCTCTTGACTACCATTCTTTGCTGGTGATTTCAAAAGCGCAATCAATCTTGAAAAAGAGCCATAAATTTCGCCTCTGAGATCAACATTACTATTGTTACAAAGTGTTGTTCCACTATTGAGTAAAGCGAGATAGTTTTATTACTATCGCTACAAAGTGTTGCACCACTATCTCTACAAAGTGTTGCACCACTATCTCTACAAAGTGTTGCTCCACTATCTCGCTTCGCTCGATAGTGTCGATACTAGTATCGTTTTGCTCGATAGATTCATTACTATCGCTACAAAGTGTTGCTCCACTATCTCGCTTCGCTCGATAGTGTCGATAGTGTCGATAGTGTCGAGTAAACTCCTCCTTCTTATCCCTTTCCCTCTTTCTCTTTTTTCTTTTCTTTTTTCAACTTTTGCTTTTTTCTTCAACTTTTGGTACGAGGGAGATCTCTTTATTATCAACAACATAATTTTTCAAAGGGATTAATAGCACATTTATAGTATACAGCCTTCTTTTCCACACACACAAGGTTTTTCTAGATTTCAGTATGGCCATATTTAGAAGTAAATCGTCGAATAAAGTTCCTAAGCAGTCCAAGCACCCTCAGCAAGCAGATGATATAGATATCAAAATCACAGCTAAGGATCAACAACAGTATAAGTACCATTCTACTGCAGTGCATGACCCTATTCTTACCGCAGTTAATGAAGCACAACCATTTGAGCAAGCGGCACAAAGGCTCGATAATCGTCGTCCTTCTTATTTATCTAATGAATCAAACGATTTGAAAGATATATTTGGCCAACCGATACGCAATACCGATATGTCTAATCCTACAAGATCAAGAAATGAAAGACCATTAGATACTATAAGAGGGTTTGAATATGCTATAACCGGAGACGTCTCTTATCGTGACCAGTTGGAATCAAGTAGGTTGGGCTGGGGCTTCCATGAAGATTTCCCTTATTATAATTTAGTGCCCGGTGGAGATCAGAGACAGCAGGAACAACAGCACAGTAGACCAGTGATTAATTTTGATGACCAGCCAGTATACCAAGCTGGAAATTATAGCGCTTCAAGCTTACAAGCTGATACCGGAAAGAAAAAGAAGAAGAGAGGATTATTTGGAAGAAAGAAGTAGTGTTCGAGAGGGAGGTGATATACACATATGCGAGGAGGAGGAGAAGAAGAAGAAGAAGGGGGGGGGACGGTACATGCGGTATATACATGGTAAAAATAGTTATAACAAGACAGTGTTTTCAGAGAGAGCAAATTGTAATGAGCCTACCAGCTATGGTAATGAGCCTGCCAACTATGGTAATGAGCCTGCCAGCTATGGTAATAAGCCTACCAGCTATGGTAATGAGCCTACCAGCTATGTTTTTTTTTTCATTTAGTTTTGTTCTTGGTAGAGAGTTGTTTTTTTAGTTCACTAGTTAATGTTTGTCTTACGAGAAAATTGGTTTTTATTTCATTTAGCTTGTAGTTCTTTATACGGAAATAGGATCAACCATCAAATAAACTTTATATCGGTTGATTGTATCGGTTGATGAATGACGTAGAGGAAATTGAACTTTTACTGTGCCTCATCTGATAAAACGCGCAACATGTAAATTGAATAGGGAAAAAAAAGCACACAAATTCCCCAAACCCCCCTTACCCCTTTGGTACGACCTCCCCAGCTTTTCCTGAACTCTCTCCACGCACTGGGCAATGACACACATATACACACATGCGTATATATATATATATGTATATGTATATATGCATGCGTGTTTGTGTGTGCATGTGGGCTGGCCTCAACAATCGAATAAGCATAGAGACTTTTATTTTTTATCAATCCTTTCCTTTTTCCAAAACGATATTGTGTATGTGTGTGTATATGTGTGTGTCTTGTCCTACTTAAATATTTACTCTATTTCTCCTCTTTGCTCTTCACAATGGTTTCATAATTTCATCATAAAGCATCTTTTTCAACTCACTAATACTTAACTCATCTTTCCTCTTATCAAATGAGAAAAACCCTTCGGGGATTTTTTCACTCACAGGTTCATCATTAAGATCATGGTATAATTTGAGATAAGGATGTTTCAATGCATCTTCAACAGTGATTCTCTTTGCAGGATTGAAAATCAATAGTTTCTCCAACAAATCAATTGCCAAAGGATTAACTTCTTTATTCCTCGATTGAAACAACTCAGTAAATGGAATTTTTTTACAAAACGGCAAGCTCCTAATATATTCTCTTGCTCTTTTCAGTTTAATGTTGTAATAATCCTCCATATTTGGAGTACCCAATATTTCCATTATTAACCATAATTGATTATGGTAGTCTCTACCTGGGAACAACGGTCTCCCAATCAACATCTCGGCCAAGATACACCCTACTGACCACACGTCGATGGCGGTAGTATATTCCTGAAAAGTCAACATAATCTCAGGAGCTCTGTACCATCTAGTTGCCACATATTCAGTCATGAACCCGAAATTGTCCTCCAGGGAAGCAATACTTCTAGCCAACCCAAAGTCACAAACTTTTAAATCACAGTTTGAGTTCAATAGTAAGTTCAGTGGCTTCAAATCTCTATGTAACACATTTGCCAGATGCATAGTTTTCAAGGCTCTCAATGTTTGATATGTGAAATATTGTATATGGTCATCAGTCAAAGTCTGGGTTCGAATAACTCGATGCAAATCGGTCTCCATTAATTCTTGAATTAAGTAAATCTCGTTAAACAGTTGGTAATCAAAAGGACGCTGTATTGCAAGTATACTAATAATATTCTCATGATTAAAATGTTTAAGAAGCTTTAATTCTCGCAAGGTACGCAAACATAACATCGATCTTTCAAATGGCTCGATCTTTTTAATAGCTACCTTTTGTTGCGATGGTTTATGGATCGCTGAGCATACAATACCATAAGCACCTTCGCCAACAATCTCTAGAATCTGGTAGTGGTCAGAGACATTAAACGAGACTTGTCTTTGAGACGACGAAGACGTGATTGTGGATGCAGATGTAGTAGCAGAAGGTAGTGCCTGCTGATGTTGTTGTTGCTGCTGCTGCTGCTGCTGCTGCTGCTGCTGCTGTTGAATAATATGCTGTTGGTGCTGTTCAACACTCATTATAATAAATAAAAAAAAACTCCACCAACAGGTAAGGTGAGAAACACAAGGATCCCTCGAGATATCAGTAAATAACAGTAAATAACAGTAAATAACAGTAAATAGCAGTAAATAACAGTAAATAACAGTAAATAACAGTAGTTGTCAGTAACCAGTTGTTGTCAGTAACCAGTAGTTGTCAGTAATTAGTAGTTGTCAGTAACCAGTAGTAATAGTAATTAGTGTCTGATCCCTCAAACTTTGCTGAAAGTGCAATAAATTGAAAAATACAATAAAAAGGAGCGACTAATTTATCTTGCACTTTAACACCATCTGGTCAAAACCGTCGAGGCACGAGATACAGTGAAACGGTTTTGATTAATCAAGACCAGGTTTGAATGCTTTGAAGTTTAATTTTTCTTTTTTTTTTTTTTTTTTTCCCGTCCTTGTTTCACCTAACAGAATGAAAAAAAACAAAGAAAATTTATCAACACAGTTTCAAACCTTCTAAACCCCCAAATAGTTTTCTTTTTTTTTTTAGATTGTTGGGACGAGAGATGTATTTGTAGTAAGACGATGTCGCTGGGCTCTTTAGACCTAAAATATTTTTTTTGTAGCAATTACGAAATAGACTATCGAGTAAGACTATCGAGTAAGACTATCGAGTAAGACTATCGAGTAAGACTATCGAGTAAGACTATCGAGTAAGACTATCGAGTAAGACTATCGAGTAAGACTATCGAGCAGAGCGAGATAGTCTGGAAAAGGACTAGACGAGTTAGACTATCGAGTAGAGCGAGATAGTCTAGAGAGTGTAGATAGAGTGTAGATAGATGAAGGAGTGTAGATAGAGTGTAGATAGATGAAGGAGTGTAGATAGAGTGTAGATAGATGAAGGAGTGTAGTGTAAAGAGTGTACATAGAATGTACATAGAGTACATATTGTACATATTGTACATAAAGTGTAGATAGACTGTAGATAGAGGTTTCTTTTCCCATTAGTTTGTTTAGTGGCATGTTGACTTTTCTATCATGCTTGGTTTGAATTTATGTTGTAAAATGTCGTAAAATGTCGTAATATTGTGTTGTTTTCAGAGATTCTTATCCCCCAAATGACAATGTTTCATTTGATATTGTGTAACATTCTGAAACACGCACCACCCCACACGAAAATATGAAAATTTCACCAAGAAGCAACACTTTACTGTAACAACAGAGTTGAATTTAGAGGTCAAGGTTAGATCAGAGGTCAAGGTTAGACTAGAGGTTAAACCCGTGTGTGAGGGGTGATTTTTAGTTCTTCCCACTCTATACTATTGATCTTATTTGTATTAGATTCTCAATTTTTTTTTGTATCGATAAAGAATGTAACAAATAGACATATATTCTTCTAATTTTGCCTTTTTCACTTAAACTTTGTTTTACAAGTGATGATTCAAGTCAACTATTCACTCAAAATTCGCAACCTCGTAAAACAAGTCAACTATTCAATTCACTATAGTCTGTAATCGAACCATATTTTACTCGACTCTTTTCCACAAACGCGTCATAAACAATCAATTGAACAAAAACAAAAACAAAAACAAACCCGTGTGTCTGTACCTGAATGTTTCTTTTTCATTCCCCTTAATCCCCTTATCGTTTCCCCTTGTCTTGATTGGTTGCTTAAAGGAGAAATAAACTAACCGTGATCTTGTTAAGATCACGGTTAGTTTATTAAGGTTGCTTTCTTCCAACTCTATTACTCCTCTCGTATAAATTAACAATACTACAGTTTCCGTGTAAGCGCATACTTCATAACACATCTATATGATCTATTTAAATAGCTTAGAGTAGTAATTAATGTACATGTTTATTCTGAAACAACTTGATAAACCTATTCACGAAACGGCAATATAGTACCGACACTATCGAGCAGAGCGAGATAAAGTCGAGGATTGAGAATATTCAGTGCTGCTCCATTATCTCGCTTCGCTCAATAGAGTCGATAGAATCGGTGACAGCTAGTGCTGCTCCACTATCTCGCTTCGCTCGATAGTGTCACTCAATAGTGTCACTCGATAGTGTCATTCGATAGTGTTGCCAAATTAAAAAATGTGTTACGATGTGTTGCTCCACTAGCTCGCTTCGCTCCCTAGTGTCGCTCTAAGTAATTCTAAACCTCATTATTTCTCTTCATAACTAACATCACCATCATCATCATCATCATCTTCAATACTGAAATTGTTACTCTCACCTTCCTCGTCCTCATCGTTCCCCTCATCACTATCAATAACTACCGCTTTATTTCTTTTTCTAACTCCACTTTCTTTGTCAACAGAAGGACTCAAATTTCTCCTAGTAACTCTTTTACTACTTTTAATCACCTGAGGCATATTCCCCATAATCTCCAAATCATCCAACTCATCAAGTATGTTGGATTTGTGATTACCCTTATTAGTCTTGCTCTTTTTATCTGATCTGGACCCTTTGTTTTCTTCATCATCATCATCATCTTCAAAATCAAGACTGAGATCGCCATCATCATCAACCATGTCAAATACTGACTTTTTTTGTGACAATGGTGATGGTTTATTTACAGTGGTCTTGGTCTTTGAAGAAGTTGAAAAAAATGAAAGAATGTCGTTTTTGGAATTGGGAGGGGAATGTGATGGGGGGTTAGGTAAAGTTTGTTTAGCCACAGGCTCCACGGTGGGAACAGGCTCTTCATCAATTTTGGGCTCCTGTTTAACAGTAGTGTTCTGTGGAGGAGTTGCTTGCTTCTTAGCTCTTTTCACCGGCGCAGCTTTCCCTGCTTCTCCATCACCCTTATTCCTTCTCTTTCTTGGTTTCTTGTTGTCACCAGTACTAACCAAATGCTCTCTCTCTTGCTCCTCCTTAGCTAAAAACAAGTCATATTCTTGCACAAACTTATCAAGATCAATATTCCATAAATCAACTGCAGTTTTATTGATCAATGTTTCCAACTCCTGCTCAAATCTACCCTTCTCCGCGAGTAACCTAACATACCTTTCATGAGTCAATGACCAAATTGTCATACCAAGGAGATAATCATAGGATGAAAAAATGGTTTGTGGGCGATGCTCCTTTTCAGGACCTTTGTCAACTTGTTTCATGTTCAATGCTGATACATCTCCTTCATTCTCAATTTCTTCGTCGCTATCCTCTTCTTCTTCAATCACAATAGCATTATTACCCTCCTCAATAGGTTTGCCGTCTTTAGTAAACTTCCTAAATTTATGCTCTTCAAGCAAAGCAATCAATTGTTTCTTCTTTATATTAGCCACCGACAACTCCTTTTCAATGATCATCTTCACAAACCTGGCCTGCTCACTAATCATCAACAATTTATACTGTAAAGCCTCCAACATGTGATTCTTTCTCTTTTCATAATACTCTAATCGAACATAGTAAAAATCCTTGATAATCTCCAGTACATCAGAATACTTCTTAATCCTTCCATATGCATCAAATGCAACCATATTACTCAAATTAATCGATGACACAAGCTTAAACCTTTCCAATAATCCCACTTTCAAAGCTTTAGCCATTTCAACATCATTCAATTTGACAATAAACCTAATCGAGGTGGAATGATGCTCCTCCATATCTTTGATCCACTGTGTAGTCTTTTCATTACCAAAACCAGCTAATAAAAACTCCTTCACTGTATTGGTCCATGTCTTTACCGGTATCTCTGTGATTTCCACAGTATTGCTATCAATCTGTTCAATCCTACCACTAACTTTATACTTCTGTGGTCCAATCTTCTCAATCTCACCATTCCATCCCTTGTACCAGGGGGTCATATCCTCTAATGGTTCGTTGTTCATAAGCCTACGCAAATTAGCAACAATGTCCTTTGGATTGTACGAAGGAATATTAGTGGACCAGCCCGTCCCGATACCATCAGCACCATTCACCAAGATCATAGGCAATACAGGTAAATACCATTGCGGTTCAACACTATCCTCATCCTCTTGAATATAGTTGAAAAGTGGATCATCTGCTTCATTGAAAATCGTCCTGGTAATATCGTTTAATTCAGTAAAGATATATCTTGCAGCAGCTGCATCTTTACCACCAGTGGCCCTGGAACCAAATGCACCATTTGGCTTTAACAAGTTGATATTATTGGAACCAACAAAATTCTGCGCCAATCCAATAATAGTCTGAATCAAGGATGCTTCACCATGATGGTATCCGGAATTTTCACCAACATAAGCAGCTAACTGCGCTACTTTGACTTCACTTTTCAAGTTCCTCTTGAAACATCCATACATGATCTTTCTCTGACCCGGTTTCAACCCATCAAGAACCGAGGGTATACTTCTTACATTATCACTCATAGAAAACAATATCAATTCTTTATTGATAAAGTCACTAATTTGAATCTCATTCAATTCAGGTTCAATAGTGTTTCCCGGTACAAAATTCTGCAACCAATCCTTTCTATCGTCGGCTTTCTTTTTGGAAAAAGCTAAATCGATATAGTTACTATCGTCACCTTGTAATGCATGGAATTTTTTCAAGTGCTTGTCCAAAGCAGTGAAGTACTCTCTAGCCTCAACTAGGGTCGAGGTACCCAAACCTTTATAATATTTATGAGTCCATCGACATCGCTGACCTTCGTTTTCTCTCCAGGTTTCAAATTCAGGCATGCTATAAAATGGAATCACTTTTTTCGATGCTGACCTTCTACCACTACCACCTTTCACAGTGACTTTAACAATAGGGGTGATGAATTGCAACAAAAACCCTGGAATATCCAATAAACCAGGAAATGAAGTTTCCAAAAAATTGATAATCAACCCTTTTATATGAGACCCATCCTGATCTTGATCTGTCATAATCATAATATGACCATATCTTAAGGATTTTATACTCTCAGGTGTATACACCTTTTTATGTTGCAATCCAATAATCTTTTTAAGTGAGTTTATCTCGGCATTTTTGGCAATTTGATCAGTTGAAGCTTCACGAACATTCAACAACTTACCCCTCAACGGGAAACAACCATAATAATCCCTGCCAATAACACCCAACCCGGCGACTGCCAAGTTCATAGCAGATAAACCCTCTGTGAGAATCAAAGTGCACTTGATCCCATCTTTAGTTCCTGCTTTATTGGCATCCACAAGATTAACTTGATCCTTGATACGCAGTTTTTTACTACCGTCTGCTTTCTGCAATGCTTTATTCTCATTTGCATTTGCAATGGCCCTTATTTTGTCGGCAATACCCGTCTTTAGTATACGATTAATCAAGTTATCTGAAGCAACAAATTTGTCCTTGCCACCAAACTGGGATGATTTTGTAGTGAGCTGTTCTTTAGTTTGCGAAGTAAATGCTGGATTCTCAATGAGCGAGTTAATGAATATAAACATATTGTCTCTTACTTCATTAGGTTTTATCATGAGCTTCTTTTGACCCTTCTCCTTTTTAGAAAGGGCCTCTACCAATTTGGAAATTATCTGATCCGACACGTATTTGACATGGGTACCGCCTGCAGTTGTTGCGATAGAGTTGACAAAACTAACTTGGTTGAATGTGCCATCACTAACAGCAAATGCCACCTCCCATCTATCATTATACACCTCATGAACAATAGTGGGGAGATTTTTGGCCTCTACTCCTCCTGCTGCTGCTTCCTCAGGCAACTCGGGACTTCTTTCTTTGATAGCCTTGACATACATCTCCACATAACTTTTGAAATTTGAAACACTCAACCTTTTATCATTTAGGTATATATTACAGTTTTTCACAGTACCACATAAATCGTAAACCCTTCTTCTCAATACTGCTAGCAAATCCTCATCCAAACTATCCATCCCAAATTTAGCCAAATCTGGCTTGAATGTAACTTTTGTATATTCTTTTTTTGTCTTTAATGCAGTAATTTTGGGTTTACCCACTTTTGTCATGTTATCCGTCCAAATTTGTTTATACACTTTACCCGTGTTCAAGTCGGCAGTTTCGACTTCAAAGCTGCTGGAGAAGATATTACACAATTTAGCACCAAATCCGTTCCTACCACCAGTGACTTTTTTCTGATCATCGTCGTAATTCGATGAGGTTAATAAGTTACCGAAAATCAACTCGGGAATATACATCTTCTCCTTGGTGTGAATTTCAATGGGGATCCCTTTACCATCATTCATAACCTGGATTACATTGTTTTCTGGATCTATCTTAACTCGAATATTCTTCATGGAAGGGTCTCTGATCTTGTTATCAGCAGCATTAACCAAAATCTCGTCAAATATCTTATATAAACCAGGCACAATAGTAACCTCTTGAAACTTCATTGACTCCGACTCCAGATCAAAACACCACATTTCCATCCTAGTCTTCTCAATAGATCCAATATATGTATCTGGTCTTTTCAAAATGTGTTCCAACTGCGACAACTTCTGATAAGTTTCAGAAGCATTTGATACCTTGTTCTTCGATGAGGACAACAGCGACAGCGGCGGCGGCGGCGGCGGCGTAGAAGTAGAAGTAGAAGTAGTAGTAGACGTGGATAATGATTCAAGCGAGTTCAAAGAACCCTCTACCAAGGGTTTTTTCACTTTATTCGAAGATGATCCGAAACCGGACTCATCAGTATAATAGTCCGACTCTTCAGACATCCTAGGCTACTTAATGATGATAAAATATCACGGCTTTCACGTCTTTCACGTCCCTATCACTAGGTTCTACCAGAAGAAAGAGGGTTCATAAAAAGAGGACGCGTTCAATTGTGTCTGAAAAAAAGTTCTCAAAAGAAAAACTGTCTGAAGGAAAAATGTCACTATCGAGCGAAGCAACACCACCGCAACACTATCGAGCAGAGCGAGATAATGGAGGAACACTTTGTAGCTATACTATCGAGCAGAGCGAGATAGTGGAGAAACACTTTGTAGCTATAATATTGATACTATTGACACTATCTTGCTCTTCTCGATAGTGTCTCGCTTTACTCGATAGTGGAAAAATTACTGTCAGGAAAATTACTGTCTGAAGATTGTATGAGGAGTGTCTGAAAAATTTACTGTCTGAAATTTCAAGATTCTTTTCTATTTTCAACTACACACGGGTATGACATTGAGTAGAGCAACACTATTGAGTAGAGCAACACTATTGAGTAGAGCAACACTATCGAGCAGAGCGAGATAGTGTTGCAATAACTACTCAGTGTACTCCACTATCTCGCTCGCTCAACAGTGTCGCTCGATAGTGTCGCAGTAACTACTCAGTGTACTCCACTATCTCGCTTCGCTCGATAGTGTCGCAGTAACTACTCAGTGTACTCCACTATCTCGCTTCGCTCGATAGTGTCGCTCGATAGTGTTGCAATAACTACTCAGTGTACTCCACTATCTCGCTCGCTCAACAGTGTCGCTCGATAGTGTCGCAGTAACTACTCAGTGTACTCCACTATCTCGCTTCGCTCGATAGTGTCGCAGTAACTACTCAGTGTACTCCACTATCTCGCTTCGCTCGATAGTGTCGCTCGATAGTGTCGCTCGATAGTGTCGCTATTCATTGTCGTACTTGCTTCTTTTCAACATCTCTTGTTGGATCTTTTCAAACTCACCATCGTCTATATCCATTTCCACAGCCTGTCTCTTTTTCCCATGTTTCTTCCCGTACTTAGATTCCAAATCCTGGATCAAGCTATCCAACCGGTGGTTTTGCCTACTCCTGATTAAAGTCTTTAGATCTGAACCTTTTGTCTTGTTGTCCTTCATCATTACCCTTTCCAATTCCTTTGCTTCCTTAGCTTCCTTGGCCAACTTCTTCAACATATTTTTCACTTTTGTCTTTCTGCTTTTGGCATACTTTTCCCAAGATCTTATAATAGTTTTATCTACATCTATCAGGGAAATTTCCAGTTCAATTATCTTGAAAACCCGTTGTTCTTCAAACTCGGTGAATTCCAAATGCGGGATAACTTCAAAAAGTTTGAGGAAATCTCCATCATAGTAGACAAAGTTGGATATTATATCATGCCTTTCCTCGTCTGAACCTTGGTATTTCACTTTATCCTCTTCAATCATTTCAATGGTTATCTTATCATTCATTGATTGGAAATACTCCTTCCAATTAAACCCTTCCTCATCACCGTAATCGACGTCAGACAACGATCCAAGGGTATCATATCGATTCCTCTTTATTGGATCATTCAATATACTAAATGCAAATTGTATCTTTGTGAAAAGCTCTTCATCTTCTTTTTCTTCCTCTTTGTTGTTCTCTTCTCCATCTTTCCTCTGCTGAAGTTTCTTATCTGGATGGTGTTTCAAACATAGCTTCTTATACGTTTTTTTTATTAGTATCGGTGTCGCATCCGATTCCACCCCCAACACCTGATACGGATCTATATCTGGAAATGGTACTCCCATCTAGTGCTATTATATCCTCTTGGTTACTACTATACTAGTTTGTTTTTTTTTTTCATTTTTTTTTTCAAAAACACTACTACTAATAAAATATAAAACATAAAATAGAATCAAAATGTTACCCATCAACTACTGGCGGCTTTCCTTCAATAACTGGTGGCTCTCCTTCAACTACTGGCGGCTCTCCTTCAACTACTGGCGGCTTTCCTTCAATTACCTATGGCATCGAGCAAAGCGAGATAGTGGAGCACAGCACTTCAAGATCTCGCTCTGCTCGATAGTGGAGCACAGCACTTCATAACACTATCCCGCTCTGCTCGATAGTGGAGCACAGCACTTCACAACACTACCTCGCTCTGCTCGATAGTGTCTCGATAGTGTCTCGATAGTGTCTCGTTACTTATGGCTGTCCTTCAAATGTTCAATCTCCCTATAAGCCCGCTCCAACTCCTGTTTCAACTTTTCATTAGATGCACTCAATTCTGAAACAGCTTGTTCGGTTAATAATTTTTCTAAAGTCCATTTTTCAATGTTATTATTTTCATTCTCTTTTAATCTTTTGATATACTCAACAGCTCTTTGTAAAATTTGAGTTTTGTTGGTATCTCTTGTTGGAATCAATTCAGCCAATTCCTTGATTCCTATATTGATAGCTTCTCTTCTTTTCCTTTCAACTTCTTTGTGGTTTGCTTTTCTAAGTCTGTGCCATTCTTCTGAGCCATGTTGTGGTTTATCCGAGTTTATCGAAAGTCGGTAAGCAGCTTCTGAGTTGGGTGTTGAAGGTGATTCGTTTTCCGCTAATGGTTTTTCATCGGAGGATTGCTGCTGCTGCTGCTGCTGCTGCTGCTGCTGTTGTTGTTGTTGTTGTTGTTGTTGTTGTTGTTCATTCTTGAGATAGGTTTGATGAAAAGCTTGTTGCTTTTGTGCTTGTTCCTCTTGATCCTTAGCAACAGCAACAGCACTACCAGCGGCGGCAGCAGCAGCGGCGGCAGCGGCAGCAGCATTGGCATTAGCAGCAGCAGCAGCAGCGTTTTCTTTACCAGTGACTTTTTCCTCGACCAAACCCCTCACTACTCGAGGATCATACTCTTTATCATCAGTATCTTGAACTCTCTTCTCTTGTTGTTGTTGTTGTTGTTGTTGTTGGTGGTGGTGATGTTGCTGTTTTTGATGATGAGCCATCAACTCAGAATCAATAACCATTTCCTCACTAACCTTTCTCACCTTTGTATCCAACTTAGCAGCTTGTTCACCGGGTCTTTTAGACATGATCTAGTTTATTGTTAGTCTATATATATGGGGCCCAAAAAAATGGGGAGGTTGTACCCAAAATGATTTGGGTGCAAAAAAGAATTCCCAAGTCACGAGGTGCAATAACTTTGAACTTTGGAGAGGTATATATATGTGTGTGTGTGGGAGGGGGGGGGAGAGAAGGGGAAAGAAGAAGATGAAAAAAACACCACAGGGCCATTGAAACACCATTGACTCAAAGCACAGCACCACTCAACAAACAAGGTAACACATACTGTAATAAAATGTAACAAAAATTATTTCAACAAGATATCTTTATAGTTCTTGACTTGTACTCTCTTTTTATCAAACTGGTAGTGCTAGTAAATCTCTACTCTTTGATAAAACTTATCTACAAGGTCATCCGTTTATCACGTTTTTGTCATGAGGAAGAAAAAAATTGTTGATGTTTTCAACACGAGGTTGAAAAGTACACGACTCCACTAGCGACACTAGCGACACTAGCAACACTAGCGACACTAGTGAGCGAAGCGAGCTAGTGGAGCAGTAAAAGACTAGCGAGCGAAGCGAGCTAGTGGTGCAGTAAAAGACTAGCGAGCGAAGCGAGCTAGTGGTGCAGTAAAAGACTAGCGAGCAGTAGAGAGAAGCAGTAGAGAGTAGAGAGGAGCAGTAGAGAGAAGCAGTAGAGAGTAGAGAGGAGCAGTAGAGAGAAGCAGTAGAGAGTAGAGAGGAGCAGTAGAGAGAAGCAGTAGAGAGTAGAGAGGAGCAGTAGAGAGAAGCAGTAGAGAGTAGAGAGGAGCAGTAGAGAGAAGCAGTAGAGAGTAGAGAGGAGCAGTAGTGAGTAGAGAGTAGAGAGGAGCAGTAGAGCAGTAGAATTAGCGACACTAGAGAGCTAAACGAGAGCGAAGCGAGCTAGTGGAGCAGGAGTAAGTAGAGAGGAGTGAGTAGAGAGGAACAGTAGAGAGACCCGGTAAATAGTGAGAGTTTGCCAGTTTGTAGGATAGTTTGTCAGTTTGTAAAAGAGTAGTCAGTTTGTCAGTTTGTCAGTTTGTCAGTTTGGAAGAGAGTGAGTCAGAGTAGCTAGTTTGTCAGTTTGTAAAAGAGTAGTCAGTTTGTAGGAAAGTAGTCAGTTTGTAGGAAAGTAGTCAGTTTGTGAGTTTGTAGGAGAGTAGTCAGTTTGTGAGTTTGTAGGAGAGTAGTCAGTTTGTAGGAGAGTGAGTGAGTCTGTCAGTTTGTCAGTTTGAAAGAGAGTGAGCCAGAGTAGCCAGTTTGTCAGCTTGTAAAAGAGTAGTCAGTTTGTCAGTTTGCCAGTTTCTAGGAGAGAAAAGATAAAGGAAAAACAGGCCTTTATTGAACCTACGTTTCTAAACTGATGTTTGTGCAAAATCACTCCAACCATTTCAAGTAGGTCTCTAAATTGAAGATCATATTAAGTTGGTCTCTACACTGATGTTTCTAAACTGATTCTGATGTTGTGATGTTTCTGATGTTTCTAATATTCTATACCTTTCTAGTTCTTTAGAAACGTACTAGCTCAGCAACACTCAGTAGCTTGTTACAACACCATCGAGCAGAACGAGATAGTGTAGGTCAATGGTGCTACACTATCTCGCTCCACTCGATAGTATTGATGAGAGCTAGTGTGCTCCACTCGATAGTATTGATGAGAGCTAGTGTGCTCCACTCGATAGTATTGATGAGAGCTAGTGTGCTCCACTCGATAGTATTGATGAGAGCTAGTGTGCTCCACTCGATAGTATTGATGAGAGCTAGTGTGCTCCACTCGATATTGTTGTGTCGCTTTATTCCTCTTTTTTCCTTATATGCTGCACAGCATATAAGCTTCTATCTAGTAACGAGCCCACCATTAGGACCCCTGCAACAGAGCTCACCACCCCCAAAACAAACCCCGACCACGTTTTTGCATGCTGTTCCCGATTAATAATCTTAAGTGGGGAGATGTCAAAGTGGAAGGCGATACCAGGAACCCCGCCTCGTGCATGTAAAGTGTGTTGATGGTCTTCGTCCTTGCCGCCTTGGAGAGGTCTATCATGAGTAATGACGGAAAACTGGTTAGTATCGGCGATAAGCTTGCTGTTGGTATCTTCATACCTAGTGGGGACAACCTTGAGGTAGTAGTTGCTCAAATGGAATTTCTTGTGTTGTAGAAAGGAGTAATTATCCAAGGGGTTCCCAAGGTGAACCTCCTTTAACTCTCCAAAAGACAAGCTATGTATTATATGGTCAAAGTTGAACTTGTCTTTGTACTTCAAATACAAAGACAAGTCGTGGACATGAATGTTGTCTCTTGTCATGGATGGCCCGGGAGTGAAATCCATTGTCCCTGAAACGCGATTGATCTTGGCACTCCCCTTGACCCTGCACCCTTCATTTTCATTAATTCTGGCTCTTAGGTTCTGCACATATCCCTCTTGCTCACATTGAGCAATGCCTTCACCGTCGTAGAACTTCCAGTTGGCGTGGGCATACGCCCTGCGCACTGCTGCACAATTGTTGCAGCAGAACTGGTTCTGGTCCTGGGGCAACGCCCCATAACAAGAGCCACAATCACTGCCCTGCACTGCCTTACATACTTCACTCAAGGGGGCATCTCTCTCCAATACAGCCAGCTCATCAAGTATCTCAGCCACTTCTCCTCCCGTTCTTATTAGTCTATACTTTTTCAATCCCGAGTTTATCACATTGAGGTCTCCTGTTTCATCAAATAGATCTATATTGATTAGATCACATGGTAAGTTCAAGAAGCTTATATCCAAATTGATATCCATCTGTTTGTTGATATCGCGGTCCACCACTAATTCGGGGAGGGTGACGATAGTGGAGTAGTCGAGGTACTCATTGCGGATCAAGATCATAGATATGAGACAGCAGATTAAAGTGATGATACCTCCGGAGGTGGTCTTGACCCGTGCATCCTCAGCCGTCTTGGCAAAAGCATCTAATGATAATAGCTTGCTCATGACTATCGAGAAAAGAGTAGACGAGCAAGCGGAGCGAAGCGAGTCTAGTTGAAAGAAGAGACTATCGAGTAGACTAGATGAGCAGGCAAAGCAAAGCGAGTCTAGTTGAATGAGATTATATTAATAAAAAGAGGAAAAAGAGTAAGAAAAAGATGTTGAAAAAGAGGTTGAAAAAGAGGTTTTTCTTTTCGACACTATCGACACTATCGACACTATCGAGCGAAGCGAGATAGTGGAGCACACT